GAGATACAGCAGGATCAGATTTAGAACAACCGAATAGCGCAGTTATTTTTCGTGTTCATACTGTGTTCAATGTTCATGCTAATGACGGTCACAAAGGCTTATTTCGGGATACAGCGATATGTGTTTGGTTTGCTTATAAAAAGATAAAGTAACGCTTCAATAAGATATAACACGCCAAAGCACCCCAAGTGTAAGATATATATTTGTTCACTTCCTTTTTCCAACATTAACCCTCGCCCTGGCAGGGGGGGGGGGTCGATGCGACCCCCCCTAAGGTTTTTCGAAGATAGCGTAAAAACGGCGGCGCGCAGCGCCGCCAAATTTGGCACAACCTATGGGGCAACCTTTTTACATATGACCTGAAAATTTCAGGTCCGGGTGACCTTGGGTCAGGTCACCAGGTCAGAAAAACCGGTACAAGGTCATGGTCAAATTTCAATTTTCTTTTTCCACCTGTCCAACTCACAGTTTTGCACTGATTTCCTTGAAACTTTCAGGATGTGCTAAGTTCACCGAGTTGTATAACATATAGTCCGTTTTTTTTAGGTCACTGACCTGAGGTCAGTTAGAGGTCATTACGTCGTAATGTTAAGCCTATGGGAAAATACTAAATTCGGAAAATACTGGAGATATCCGCTTCGTTCTATCACTTTTGTGCTTTGAAACCACAGTACTTAACAGCAGGTCACTTGGTGCTTCTTTGTTTGGTGTACTTATCCATGGGTCAGGTCAAATGAGGTCAACTGAGGTCAAATGACGTTTTTGCCAATAACTTGGCACATAATGACGCTAGAGCTTAAAAATGGTATCATTGTGTTCCTGGTGATCAGACGAATCGAATGATATGCGATATGATGCAATTTGGTGAACTTGAACTTAATTTATAAATTTAAGTTTACTTAAAATTTAAGAAAAACTTTAAGTACACTTAAGCAAGCTAAAAAGTATATCATTCGACGCGCCTTGACGTGCTGAGTTCACTGGTGCTTTTCTTTTTGCTCTATCTTAATTAGATCAAAAGTTATAAGCGAAAAACTTTTGACCTGTTTTTCGCGAAATTTTTACATTTATACCCCCCAAAACCCCCCTAAATATTGACCTAGAGCAACCAAATTTGCACAGGGGGGAGAACTCCAGGGGGCCCACCTACCTACCTAATTTGGTGTTTCTAGGTGCCATAGGAGCCAATCGCGAGGGGGGTCGCATCGACCCCCCCCCTGCCAGGCCGTGTTATGAAAAATGCCCTGCCAGGGCGAGGGTTAACCAACGTCCAACATGGCATGAAAATGATGACAGAACACAACAACAACAAACATCTTGTAATTGTTTTTAGTCATTCAACGCACGCGGCTTACATCGGAGAATGTGGGACTGTTTTTATAGGACACTGAGTGGTTCTGTTGAGACCCTACAGTCCTCATGTATCTCACGTGCACGTTGTATGGAGCGCTGCATCCTAAATGAGTAGCGTGAGACGTCACCACACGACCCCACAGGAGGCTTTGTATCTAAGAAGTGGGCAGGCCTAGATGGCGTCTGGCGAACCCAATAGACATTCAGTTACCCTCCAGTAGTAACTGGGAAATAACGAAAAGAGCAGATGTGTCGATAGCTCCACCATTAAAAATTCCAGGGAAGCCAGTGTAGCTTGGCCACCACCTGCCTGGCCAGAGAGAGAAACCACGCGTCACCTGTACCCTGACCGTCAGCCCCGTCACGGGTCGCGTCACAATTTCGTCACCTGTGCGCCAGCAATGACGCAGAACAAATGACGCGCGTGACCAGTGGCTCGAAACCGCGCCACCAATGGTCTTGGCATGGGTACCCTCTGGAGGGAGAAGGGGAGGTAGGGGTAAGCAGATGAGGTCATGTACTTGCTCCACATCAGTAGAATGCAGCGACCATGGAAGTCAGGCCGGGTCTTTTTGTCTCTACATACAATCTTCACTACCGTTTGTTGGATGTTTATTGTGCTCTTAAATTCTGAACCGAGTGTTTAGAAAGGAAAAAATGAAGTGAATGAGCAATTAAATTTTTGTGATGCTCATTATCTAAACTAAGATAAAGTCAACAAATATTTGTAACCAATGAGATACATGCCATAAGTCATTCGGCTAATCCAGGCTATAATCCTCCTTGCCTAACTACGAAACGTTTAGTTTAATGAGCATACCGACATGGCAACACAGCCTTCGGTAAATAAATAACCAAACCAAGAAATTCACACGCCGTTCACCTCCCACAACGGTCAAGGTTGGAGCGTCTCCGACGGCCGACCCCGGCCAGTGACGTCACTGGGTCAGGTGACGTCACTGGCCAGCTGACGGCGGCTGGCAGTGCCGGTGTCTGAGGTAACAGCGCGGGACGCCGGGGGCAGCGTCTCTCGCAATGGGAGAGCAGATTTGGGGTGGTGTGCAGGGTCAGGGAATGAGGGTAAGTGACCGAATAGGTAGCTCTGTTCATATATTGGTGAGACGAAGGGACTGGGGTCTAGGGGTAATCTGGGAATGGCTTGGAGAGGTTGCTGATGTTACGGAAGATTTCCTATTCCTCGATGTTATACTTTCCTAGAATGTTACCGGAGCTTTGTCTAACTATGCTTTACAAACCAATCGCCACTAAGTATGTATTGTGATCGCGATATCCGCGCTCTGTGACGATTGTTGCTTCAAGACTAGCTATACGGAAACAAACGAATAACAACATTGCAAGATGCAAATGCATTTTTCATGAGATGTACAAACGATACTGACATAAACGGGTTTCCTCTCCGCTCCCCGTGCATATTCCAGGAAAGCAATAGCAAGCCTTCGGCTTTCCTCTCCTCTTCGCATGCATGCATTGAAGAAACGGAGACCAAACTGTAACCTAACCTAAGCCGTAAACTATCTTCAAAATGTCCAACAAACCAGGCTATCAGATTCGGATGGCTACTTTACGATAAGGGCAGCAAGTCATGCGTTCAGCCGAACGCTGTCGGCTGTTGCAAAACCACATCGGCGCTTATCGCGGTGATTTTGCAGACAGCAGCTGGCTAAATCCCCAGCTGGCTGATGCACTAGACGCTGTGTATTTTTGTGTGAAGTGAGTGGGCTGGGCTGTGGAGTGGGAGATAAAGAATGCATCGCAGGCTACCAATGTAACAAAAATGCGTTCTTTTTGCAGGTGTAAAATGTGCCAAATGTTGTGAAACGTCTGGTGCACATCGCTGGTGACATGCTAAGGTTTAGTTTCCTGCGTTTAGTCGTTAAGCTCCGTTCAGAGTGGCACGCATTATTGATGTTGCAAATGCACCACACATATGTACTCTGCGGTTTTGCAACAATGAACTGTTCTGAACCCGTCCCATTTCAACACTCACGACCTTACGACCGCCAACCGACCACAGTTGTGCTGCGGTATCGAGATACAGCCATATTGTCAGGGAACTCAGATTTGTTTTTCAATAGAAAACCACAATTCTAAAGAATAGTGTTTTAACTATTGACAACAAGCCTTCGGTTATAATCGGGAATGTCGTGCGAACGGTAATCTAGACAAGTTCATGATAGCCTTACAAATACGACAATATTATATGAGTGATTTTAAAAGATCTGATAATTTGTGTAAATAATGTTGGCTAGACCTGTAATTATCATATATTTTTTTCATATGCCACACCTTGTTATGTTGAAACTGCTTGATTTTATTGGTTTTGCCACTTGTCACAATTTCCTCGCAGATAGTTTGATGGATCCAAACTGTAAAATTCTGAAAGCACTTTGAAAAAAAAAACTAGTAAAAAAGAATAAGAAATCACCGGCACTTCAAACCCTCAAAGAGTTTGATCCTTTAGCATGAGCACGTCTTGCCAAGTCAGGAATTGATCAGAAGGGCCGCCATTCAAACATGCCATAGCCCACAGAGCATTGTCCACAGCACGTTAACCTCTGCAACGCTAAAATTAATGGTCTTTTACGTGCCTCGTTAGTTTCGTAAGTCACCCTCTGATTTCCTTTTGACCCTCGCCGACCTTGACAGGGCCATTCCCGACCCCTGATCCCCCAGTTGCAGTCCCCCTTTAGTGCCATTGGTCAGTGGGCTCCTTACAGAACAGCCGAGGCGAGGGTTCATAATTGCGGCTTCCTTGAACATTACCATGGCTGCAGCCGCACGCAGCGTGCCCAAGAACCTGTAATTAAGTGTGCGTGTGTTAATGAGGCTCGATGGAGGGTGCGGAGACCTTGAGTGCCCACTGCCCACTTCCTCGTACCTACCCCTGCGACCTTGCAGGGTCATACCACTCTGCTCATTGGGATTTCATTGCTAGCTGAGAGTGAAAAATCTCGTGATTGTATCGCCATATAGAGCAAGAAGGCATGTGACCAGCTTTGCAGAGGACGCGTTCTCAGATATCACGTGACGTAATGGCTGCAGACATTGGCTAGCCACGTGACCCCACGTCTGCAGGCTGCAGAAAGTCACGTGATCTTACCGTTGCAGAGAACAAGGCTGAACTTTGACAGAGCAAGCAAGGTCGCGGAAGTGATCAGTATGGTATATTTCCGGCAATAAACGTGTGACGAGTCTTCAGTTCTTCCACAAGTGCTTTGCTACATATTTTATAGCATTGTCTTTATGCCGTAGCTCGGCTGTCACTTATTGTAGTAGCTTGTCTCCTTTTTAGATAAAACCGTCTTCATGGATAGTTTGAAAGTGGTGGATATTGTTTTAATAATTATATGCATGGCCTACCTTCATGGTGACAAGACAAAATAAATATTACGTTTCACTATATTCACTCACGTTTCATAAAAATAGCCATTTCTTCGCCCCACCGCAGCAGGCTGCAAGGCACAACTAAAATGCCTCGAAACACATACCTACAAGACATACTTTGGCAGTTCCATCAGCTTGGTCTTTTTAGGGACCTCACTGCTGTGAAGCTGTTTGTGTTCAGTTTACGCCTATAATTAATTGGTGACCCTTTTTTGACTGAAATCTCCCCTTTCTGCCCACAGGTGTAGCCGGCAGCCTCAACATTCCATCAACAGCGGTTACCACTTTCCGCACCCCTCCCGGCGCGCACTCAGCCCAGCTCCTCCCTGCCTCTGTCGACTCTCTCCTGGCCGACCCGGTACCGGCGGCAGCTCCCAACGCCTCCTCTCCCTACTTTCCTCCGGACTCGCCCTCTGCCCCGTCCGGCCGGTCGCAGGACGGCGCCACCCCGGTGGACTCGCTGACCCCTGCCGAGTACGAGGCTCTGCTGAGGTCAGTCAGTGACCTTGACCCCGGATCGGGTCGTGCACTGAGCGCCATCAGCTCGGGCGCCACGGCCAGCGAACTGCGCTGGATGCTGGTGACCCACTCGCGCCGGAAGCGTAACGTGGTCCAGCTGGGTGACATGATGAAGTGCGCCACCGGCTGCAGCCCCATCGCCTACAAGGGCTACGGCTGCTACTGTGGCTTCCTCGGGTCGGGGAAGATCATTGACGGCATCGACCAGTGAGTAACATGCGCGCTGTTGGTGGATGATGGGGAAGGTCCTGTTACCGCTGTTTGTGCTCCAGATATCATCGGGTTGATCATCAGGGCCTTGCACGCAGATAAAAAGCTGCATCATAGCAAATGTAAGGTAGGGTTTCACCTTTTTTGCAAAATTGAATATTGTATTGATGATCCCTACCAGCATCATTGTTTCAGGACTCGCGTCATTTGTGGCACGTACAATCATTAATAGGTATCTGCTATGAGATGCCGTTCTATCATAACAGATTGCTGAGCCTCAGATAGGTCTATAAAATTACCCCGTGTCTCTTTACCTTCTAATGATTTCGTTTATACGTGGTCGTCGGTGATGTCATGCGTGTAAGGTCAGAACAAATCTCAAACCGTAATATTGACCTGATTTCATGCATTGTGTGTGATGTGTCCTGGCAATGCTATTTTGATGAATCGAATGCGTTCTCTCCGTCTCTGTCTGTCTGTCTTTCTCTCTCTCTCTCTCTCTCTCTCTCTCTCTCTCTCTCTCTCTCTCTCTCTCTCTCTCTCTCTCTCTCTCTCTCTCTCTCTCTCTCTCTCTCTCTCTCTCTCTCTCTCTCTCTCTCTCTCTCTCTCTCTCTCTCTTCTCTCTCTCTCTCTCTCTCTCTCTCTCTCTCTCTCTCTCTCTCTCTCTCTCTCTCTCTCTCTCTCTCTCTCTCTCTCTCTCTCTCCGTGCCCTTGCATTCTGTTGCTGCTGTTCAAGTTGGTGCCATCCGTCTCTCGAGCACGTTTCTGTGTCGTCTGCAGCTCTGTCTGGAGTGTCTTTCAGCTCTTCGGCAGCTATCCGCCATGGTTGTGATGTGCCGATTGTGCAATGTGCTGACCGTGATCGTGAGGTCATTTGAGGCGTGGTTTCCACACTGTGCGCGCCGATAATGGACCTTATCGCGGATGCTGCTGCGGCTTTTCACGCTCGCTGACCGCCCAGTGCTCTGCTGACTGCAGCTGTGTGTGTACAATGCCGCGCTTTGAGCCCCACTGACCCAATAACAGTGACCTCCGTGGTGCTGAAATTCCGGTGCTTAGCTCGCAAAAAAAACCTGGGAAAATATCCACCCGGCTTCAGTGGGATTTCAGCCGCATTTATTCACAACACGGATGCTTTTAGAGGCTGCGAGAAAAAAAAAAAACGGTTTCAACTGCAATAGAAAACGTTAACTACAAATAGCTATTATTTATATAGCTCCAACCTTGGAAGCTCTCTACATCATAAAACATATCTTTGAAATTATAACAAGGAAAATTGGCAACATGAGAAAATGATACCTGCTATATGAACGTCTTAATATTTAGCATCTGAAACTTAAATAGCAAAATCGTTGGAAGATCGTTCAGGGCTGTTTCAAATAGCTCAAGTTGTTCGTAATTTGTTTACAGCATTTACGTCGTGTCCACAAAGCGCACTCCAGTGGTTTGTGCGCACTCCGGTGGTTGGTAAACGGTTGGCCGGCCGGGTGTGACGCTGACTTAATTTCACAACGGCAACTCGACCGTAACACTCAAGGTCGGGCACAGGCACACCGACACAGATGTAGACACGCTCAACACACGGCTTGGGTCGGATTTCAACTACCCTGGCCAGTCTTGGAAACTGACACGGTATAACGGTATGTCAAAGAATGACGCAGCAACCGCAACTGAGAACAATTCGCGGACATATTTCGGTGTCGTAAAATGTTATATAACACACGATGCAAATGTTGGCATGAAATGCTCTGGATAGTGCAATACTTCATTGCAATAATAGTTGGGTCCAAAACAGTTTAATGATTTGTACATAATTTTCTAATGAAAACAATAAGTGCTGATCACCCCGCCTGCCCCGTTAATCGCTGATAACTCATCTGAGCTTTGCAGCTAAAGTCACCGGCAGCTTCAAGCCTTCTGGAGCTGGGAAGCTCACCAGTCACCACGCTGTAAATACAGTGTGTGCCTCCAACCCCCGCCATGCTTTGTCCCGTGTACTATAGCCGTGTGCGCCGGCGCCCCAGCTGCGCCAGGAGCGCCGCGCTCGCGCCACTGACGCCGCCGCCGGTGCCGCCTCTTGCAGCTGCTGCTACGAGCACGACTGGTGCTATTGGCGGGCTCGTTCCTGCTTCACTGACCCGTTTGGCGTGTCGTTTTACGTGTCTCGCTACAAATGGTCGTGCCAAGACGGCAAGCCGCAGTGTGGTGAGTCCGTGCGCCGCAGAGGAGCCCTGAGGTATTCTCGGCAAGGCTGCCGCAAGGCCGCTGTCTGGCCTGCAGGACCGCTGCAGGGTGGCACAGGGGGCGTGCAGGAATCGCTTCGGCTGCTGCGCTGGTCTGCAAGGTCGCCAGGGGTCACGCTTTACAGCCTGGCACTCACAGCAGCATGGCTTGGCACCGGTGGAGGGGCTACGGCGCTCGTTACAGGTTGCCATGGAGACGTCGGCACGCTGGTGATGTCCGGTGGTGAACACGGTGTTGTGAGTCAGATTATGTGGTGCCGTGATAGTTTTTAAGGCAAGAAAATAGAACGGTGTGGTGCTGCACGAATTTACAGGAGACCAGAGCTGACCTGACCTGACCTGACCTGACCTGACCTGACCCAAGCAGACCTGGCAGGACCCAAATGTGCCAATTCGACCTTATTTCAGTTGTCCTGGACCTTTAATTTTTGCTGTTGACTGTTACTCACCTGCAAAAGCCCCACTTTGTTCTAATATGAAGTCCTCCTTTGGTAATAACAGCGTGATAACAAATTTCAGTGTACCTACACGCATTTTTCAATAACATTCTGGTAACTTCCTCGAATTTAACCTTTTCCTATCCAGCATTACATAGCGGTCTCGTGTTTTTCGTCTCAGACCTGAGCCGGACAGCCGGTCTTCGCCCTCCTACGGTTAGTGACCTCTGGCATTGACCTTCCCACCGTCTAAGGATCCCGCCTCGCTCGGAACAAATGGGTCTGTTTTGATGGCGAGGCCCTACCGGCTGGCGCGGATAGTCAGAGATGTGACTTTCGGTGGCACAGCGAGCCGAGACATTAGCGGCGGGAAAATTGTGCGTTGAGTCGGTAGGGTACCGCTAAATCCATGATGGGTGTAATATAAGATCATTTATCACTTTGGGTAAGGGAAGAGGCAAAGTCACTTCACTAATAGGAGGGAGCCGTCTATTTACAAGTCAAGGTCATACTGCTGTAAACAAACAAAGATTAAATTCCCGCGAAAAATCACAAAGACATAATATGGAGTAACCAAAGGTTTGTTGTCAATAGTTAAAACACTATTCTTTAGAATTGTGTTTTTCTATTGAAAAACAAATCTGAGTTCCGAATGATAATATAAGAATAACCAGTAACCTCATAATATAAATCAGAAAAAGGAGCCAAAAGGTTATATTTAAAGTTATCGAATATTTCGCTCCTGGAGCTTCGTCAGCGATAATTACAGAAAAACATATACGTTTTAAACATGGAACAACAAAGAACACTGCAGAATAAATAGCAAACTCATGCTACACTTCGCAAGGGACCGACATTTTTGGCGAAGTTTGAATAGGTACAATATGAATGTATGTATACAGTGTACGTATTTACAATATACACGTATATAGGTACAATAAACAATAGCTTTACATACAAACATAATCGACTACATGTGCACTGCATACATTACACATAATATCATCAATTATTCACATGTGATTGTTATTATGTACACTTCAGACTATATGTATCCAGAAAAGTTTGTGACGCATTTACATTTTGAATGATGTTCTCTTTATGATTATACAGCATATACATATATATATATATATATATATATATATATATATATATATATATATATATATATATATATATATATATATATATATATATATATATATATATATATATATATATATATATATATATATATATATATATATATGTATATAATATACTACACATATATACAGATAAAATACAGCTTTACAGCTTTTTAAGAAATCTGAGTTCCCTGACAATTTGGCAAAAGCTGCCTGAGATATGAATGGGTAGTCATTCGTCGAAGGATAGTTGTTACGAGCGAGCGAGTGCAGCGAGCGAAGCGAGTCTTTTCAATATAACGGAAAAATCTCAGTATGAGCGGCCCGGCCCGGCCCGGCCTGTAACGCTTTTGAGAGGCTTATATCTCAGCAACTGCTGGACCGATTGGCCTGCGGTCTTTTTTGCTGGGTAGCCCCATCCCTTCTACCCCGTAATAGACTACTTTTGATACATCTCAGTGACCGTCGTGGCACGTGCCACGTGGAAGGTCAAGGGTGTTCAAGCTGTTTTGCAAAAGTAGTGATTTTGACAGGCTCATATCTCAGCAGCCGCTTGGGCGATTGACTTGCGGTAATTTTTGTAGTGTAGCAGCATCCCTTCTACCAAAAATAGGATACTCTCGATGCATGTGGGTCACCCCCAGTGCACGTGCAAAATACAACAATAAGAGGTGTCAAATTTGTTCCCATTTTAATAACTCGGTAATTACTGCGGCGATTTTGCTGAAACTTGGCATACAGGTAGGCACCCACCAGGCAATGCATTCCCATGTGTTGCGGTTAGGGTGCTACTGCACGTGCGCACGTGCAGGGGGCGCTTCCAGATCTCGAGAACGGCTGGGCCGATTGCGCTCAAATTTGGTACACGGTTGGGGACCAGTTAGTAGGGTGCCGTGCAAAAGTCAGTTTGGACCCCGTTTGCACGTGCACACGTGCAGAATGCCGCTTCCAGATCTCAGGAACGGCTGGGCCGATTGCGTTCAAATTTGGTATACTGCTAGCGACCGGTTAGAAGGGTGCTTTGCGCAAGCCCGTTGGAAGTACCCTCTCGCCCTTCCGCACGTGCAGGGCTCACTATCTCGCTCGCTCGTTCTTCGCCCAAAAGGCGTTTTACTGGTAGTTAAGTTTCAGTTAGTTGCTTGTTACCTAAAGAATTACTTCATTGCAGAATTTGACTGAACTGAACTTTTTGGAAGAGATTTGGAAGCATTGGTGTCCATTCTGAAATGCATTCATCAATTTTTGCACACGAACGTGAAAGACCGCCGTCTTAGGTTTACTCTCCGTGTCTCTATTACACCAACCGATAGCAGAGACGCGGGCTATGCGGTCAGCATGTTGTTAAATGATGAAATCACTAGGGATTACCGTCGTTATCCAGTTACAACATCTGCCTGGTTATGCAGATTCTGAAAACTGCCGTGGCAGATGGCACAGAACGGACAAAAATTGCATTTTTCAGTCTCAGGCCATTGCAATAAAATATAGTAATAGGAAACATACAGGCTGATCACTTGATCAGGGTCTGAGTTTGTTTGTTGAAACGATGATTCTGCAGATAATTCTTCTACCTATGTTTCACTCTCTCAACGATCATGCCATTGAGCAAGTGTCTATACGGTTGGGGATATGATTGGTGAAGTTTTGTACCAACAAAGTTTTTCAGAAAGTTACACCCTCATCAGTCATCATCGAGTATCTAGTGTTACCAAAAAAGGCTTTGATCAGCCAGCTTACCCAAATTGTTGAAAACCATAGCATCCTGAGACGGTCGAGTGAAATCTGAAATATACTGGAACGGTTTGGTCTTGTGCCATCCGTCTCTACGGTCTAGGGAGGTATTAAATGTTGGATGACTAAACGGCAGTGATGATTCTCGGTTTACTGCAGGCATTTCGGCGCTAAGAAGCACACGTGTCCGGCGATTTAGAACCACCAGTAAGGACCATTACATTATTCTATGCAGATCTGATGTGCACGGTGCAGCACCACCTTGACATTAAGATAACACCTGACCCCTCTCCCTGAAATCTGATACCATCCCGTCCTCCCATTCATTAGTCGAGACTGAGCAGCCTCTGCTGATTGCAGGTGGTGCAGAGGGTCCATAGCTGCACGCTGATCGAGCCGCGGACGAGGACCAGGTGACTGACGATGGGCCAAGACTGACAGACAAGGACAAGGACTGCAGGTGACTGGAAGGCTGGAGACGCGGAACGCAGCGCCGCCGGGGCCGCGCTATGACATGATCACGTGACATGCAGGACAGGGACCAGCACCCGCGCGCTAAACTGCAGTGAAATACTTAATACGTAATTTGACATTGCACAGGCATAAAGCATATTGGGCGGCACAGACTGACATAATCGTAGTACATACTTGGTAATTGACAGATTTTTACGATGAAGTTGTCAACTAAATAAAACTTTAAAACTTTAGGTACTGAGGATAACTACGAAATTCAAGACCACCCCTAATTTCTTTGGCCAGCCTCTGGAAGAGTCAGTCATAAAAGGGCAAACGTCACCACCATGTTTCACCGACCAGCGAACTCAGACCACGTGACCGTGCCTGAATGACGTCACCACCACCACAGCCAGCCTGTGGCCACTGACCACGTGACCGACCCTCTGTGATGTTACCGGTGCTGGTTGTGACGTCACCGGTGGTAGTTCTGACGTCAGTGGTGGGCCGGTTCTGACGTCAGCGGTGGTGATGGCCTGGTTGCAGGTGTTGCTATTACCACGACAGGTGCTATCAGCGCAGCTCGTGTCCCAGTCTGCTGCAGTATTTCGCCCAGTACCCCTGGTTCTGCGCTAACGAAACACCCGTCTGCTACGGTAAGTTACACCCACACTGCGTGTCACACAGAACAACAGAGACTTATGTCTTTTTTATGTCATTCAGCCTATTGGTGTTATTTGCAGCTCATATGATTTTGACATTGCCGTCTGTGGACTTAAATGTGGGTGTCAGTTATTACCGAATCGTCTTTTCAGGTTAGACTATACTCGTATACCTACAGGTTTTAACTTTGCAGCTATCTGTCAGAGTTTTGTGGTGAGGTGAATCAAAAGGAAGGCAGTTTCTTTAGCATTTCCTAAACATGAGAATATTCAGGACCAATGTAATCGTACTTTCAAAATGCACTTGTGTATTGCAGCTACAGCAAAGCGCTTATATAGTCCGAATTTTCCTTCTGTTACCCATAATCACTCTTGTTGAGAAAGCGTGTAACATGGCCCCGGTAAGTAAGCATGCACACATGCATTTGCCAACGAGCATTTCTATTCCGCTTGGTTATAGCTAGCTAAATTTATTTGTTGTTAACGACATCAGATTGACCCCGCATTAGCGATAAATCAGAAACATGCGCAAATACCGCATGCAATATTTTTTGCTTATATCAGTGACAGTTTCTCTTTATTCCACGCTTACACGTAATCTGTGCGCCACATGTCAATGGCAAATACCCGATTTTGCAAACGTACGAGTAGGTATATCATGTGCAATGTGCATTGAAGCAAGTACATACATGCTGTTTGCCCAAAGTTGACGCAAGATAACGCCAGATGACACCAGGAATTCCTAAGACTGATTGCTCGAAACGCATGAAAATAACCCAATTAACTGCATAGCACATATTTTCCTCAAATCTTGTCCTGTTTCATCTCCCTATCTCTGAATGCATAGCTGACAGTTTTCTATGGCTAACTTCTACATAGTCACATACTGAGTGCAATTCTAAATTGCGGCATTTTTTTCCCCACTGCGTTCTGTGCAACATTAAAATCTCCCGTAGTCAGTACACTTGCGTAAACGGTATGATTCGCATGTGCGCCAAACCGGCCATGACTGCATGCAATTGGCCTGCCCCACTGCATGTCAGCGAGATCACGAAATGTGACACACGGGCTGGCGTGACGGTCGTGTCGGTGTCACGGCTCGTCACGCCGCCCGTCACGGCCGAAGACACGGCCCCCCTCCCGGGCCCGCCCGCTTGTCCCCTCCTGCCCTGAGGCGGACTTGCGCTCGCAGTGAGGCGGGAGATGAGAGGGGTCAAAATGATCAAAAGGGGCGGGGCGAAAAGGGATGATCTCGAGAGCCGGGACGCATGGAGGTGATTGGTTTCACTCGTTACAGAATATATTGAAAATGAGTGTAGTGATTTTTGTTTTAAAATACCGATCAAACGTTGTTTAAATGTCTCAATAGTGTTTAAATATTTTGAATCAAAATCAGTTTGTTGCCTTGCACGTGTGTTTTTGGGAATATTTGCGTTGTTGCTTGTTTTCTTCGTTCTTTGTTTATCTGTTAGCCTTTATTTCTCAGTAGATTTTCAATATGTTTTAGGCCAAGCATATTACCATACCACTTTACATCTTCTTTCAGTAACTATGCAATACGCATGACGAAATTGTGTGTCCTTTTTCGTAACTCTTTTAGTTTCTTTTCATTTAGGTACAAGTTTTAGATGATGTTCAATTTTCCTCAATAGGTATTTTCGTTTAATTCTCAGTCACTTATTTAAATTAGGGATTTCTCTTGTAACTTTCTCTGACATGACTGACATCTTGTTATCTCAATGTCTCCGACTCAGTTTTATAAAACGTTTGTTTTAAAACCAGCTCCTATGAAAAGTTAACTTAGTGCCTCCTTCCCCGTTCTATCCATCAACATACATACAGAAGCTTACGCCGATGTTATATAAATGTAACTGAATGCCGAAGGTCTTCGGCATTTCCATGTAGCACAAATGAGCAAATATAGGTACAGGGTGTTTCACAATAAATGTTACTTTTGATAAGCTTTTAAAATGACCTCAACTATTCGTATGCCCATAAATTCTATATTCATTTTGTTGCAAATTCTTTCGGGTTTTTTATCCTTACAAAAACTATGACGAATCATCAACTGCATTCTTTATGTACGTGCAATGTCCACACCATCAAAACGGGTCAATTCGCTGTTAAGCTTCAGGGTCCTTCACAATGAATGTTGCTTTTCAAACGATGTTTCAGTGACATGTATTACATATGGCTCATCAGTATTACCACATGAGACAGCAGAACAGTAGGACTGATGAGCATATAACTTTCAGCTCAGCACCCTTCACGGGCTCTCCACTATGCCACCCTTCCGTCTGACTTTTTCAACCAGATTTTCTGGGATCGCCGTCCGGCCAGGAGGCGGGGCTGGTCTCGTGCTTCCAGTCTTCTGGAACCTTTCTACCACCCGTTTGAAAGACATTTTTGACGGAATATCCTTCCTCCTTTTAAAATGACTACCGAAACTTCGTCGCACTGCGGTCAGATTCCGCAAAGCGCCGTAATGCATGACCACCCATACCGCCTCATCATCTGTACACGGCGAATTGACCCGTTTTGACGGTGTTGGCATTGCACGTCCATACAGATGGAACCGTTGACGTTTTGTAAAAAAAAAATATGGTCTAAAAACCGCAACAAATTTGTGCCACAGCAAAATGCATATAAAATTTACCCGCTTACGAACAAGTAAGATCTTCATTCAAGCTATTCAAAAGTAACATTTATTGTGAAACACCCTGTAGGTATAAAAAATAGTCATCAGAGGATCATCGGTATGTGTATCTGACCACTTGTCTTGTCATACAGGGCTTTATATCTGCTAGTAAGATTCTTATAATGTTAGTGGGTTTAATTGTAAATGAGTAAATGTTAAATTGTAAATTGTGTACATAAATTGGCCCTGTTCTGTCCATGTGACAAGGTTTCACTCGTTTTATCTTCAGACTGTCTACCATCTTTACCATGACCCCTTCCCGTCCTCCAGTCGTCATCAGGCTGTCTAGCATCTAAATCGTGTCTCTTTCTTCCACCATTTATACTGTGTCCCCCCCTTCTAAAGTCTGTCCCGTGTCTCCCCTTTTAAGGTCTGTCCCGTGTCCCACTTCTAACGTCTGTCCCGTGTCTCCCCTTCTAACGTCCCGTGTCTCCCCCTTCTAACGTCTGCCCCGTGTCTCTCCCTTCTAACGTCTGTTCCGTGTCTCCCCTTCTAACGTCTGTCCCGTGTCTCCCCCTCTAACGTATGTCCCGTGTTTCTCCCTTCTAACGTCTCGTGTCTCCCCCTTCTCACGTCCCGTGTCTCCCCTTCTAACGTCTGTCCTGTGTCTCCCCTTCTTACCTCCCGTGTCTCCCCATCTAACGTCTGTCCCGTGTCTCCCCTTCTAACGTCTGTCCCGTGTCTCCCCCTTCTCACGTCCCGTATCTCCCCTTCTAACGTCTGCCCCGTGTCTCCCCTTCTAACGTCTGTCCCGTGTCTCCCCTTCTAACGTCTGTCCCGTGTCTCCCCTTCTAACGTCTGTCCCGTGTCTCCCCAGCGGTCGGCACGGGCAGCGCGTGCGCCCGAGAGCTGTGCGAGTGTGACCGCCAGTTCGCCAAGTGTCTGCGCCACTTCCCCTGTCCACAAAGCCGCCCGGTGTGCACCAGTTCGCCGCTGAGACACTGGCAGAACCTCTTCCTCGGCATGAGGAAGCCGGACAGCAAGGAGCACTACCCCATTCGCATACGTCCCGCCTACAAGTTGCGTCAGTGAGAGCGGGCTGGGCGCCATTGGTTTCAGACCATGGATGACGCGTGAGCCATCCGTCAACGCATTCTTTGCTTCGTGAAAGTGTATGCGAAGGGGATGCTGAGCGGGCTCATCGAAGCAGCAGCTGGAACTGTTGGGATGATCAGTCCTCATAGTGCCAGAAGTAAAGACTGCCACGATGGACAACTTTTGGCTCACTCGAGTGAGACATTGGTGCATTTGCTTAGCTTAGCTTGCCTAGCTTCAGTGCATGATGATTGCCTGTTCGTTCTGCGAAATGATGTCACTGTTTGCCAGTGTCCCGCCGGTTGCCATGTAATGCTATACCTGCCAGAGCAAGTAGCTCGGGAAGTGAGGTGGCCGCCCCACCGAAGACGGTGCAAACGCCGTATGCAGCCACCTCGTCCTAAAGAAATCCAGTCCCTAAAATCGCATCATAGTTCATTTGTCTAATGTCAAATCGAACGCAGGAATAAGTAAGGCTTGACATTCTCGTCTTACCTTTCGTTTGAAATGGAAGTCTTTTAAAAAAGCAGAAGGTAGACCTGTTTTGTTACACTCCAACATCTTACGTTTGTTGCTTTTATCGAAAGTCGGCATGAATGATACTGTATCGTAAGCAGAATCGTAGCCATCGAAGGCCGCCGTTGTTGACACCTGCTCAACCCCCATGCATTGCCAGCCCGTGTCTGTAGTCAGTTGTCCCGCGGTTGCGTTTGCTTGTAAATATGCCGGTTAGGTACGATCAAACCGTGCCATTCTTGTCAATGTTGAGTCATTGCCATGTTGAATCGGGTGTCAACTTGGAGATATCAAACGCTTAATACTCACTAGGACAGACAATGTAGCGGCCACTAGCTCAAGCGTATAATAATGCGCATTTGTCCTAAACGTGTGTGTGTCTTTTGTATGTCAAAATATGTCAAACAAGTGCGTCGAAGTTTAGGTATCACAAATGTGTCGTTGAAGTAGCCTGTTTTGTCCTGTTAATTGTTTTGCTGTCGATAACTGCGCTCGCTGTAGAGGAAGTAGATGAGTGATGAACGCATTATCAGCGATTTAGGCGATGGCTGTCACATTGTAAGCGTGTGCAGTATGAAGTCGAGGATGTCAGGCTCGGATGAGTGCTATGAGAATTGCTTGTTTGTAACGGCGTGATAAGTGCCGTCCCACCACGTCTTTCAAGGGCCGCGATGGACGAAATTGTCCGCGAAAGCTACAGCACAATAACGAGCAATGGTACACGTGTGTTTTCATTAAAAATGCCGTGAATACTGAATATGATGAAAATAACATCTTGTAACATGCCAACTGCTCTTCAGATTTTAAAATTATTATGAATGCATCTAGAAATTTCTCATTTCATTTTGTTCTTCACAAGTTTCGGCCGGCATTGTCCTCGAAATGCATTCAAGTGTGTCACTTCTGCGTTCGGATGCGTTCGACAGGGTGACTTCCAAGTGAGGCAAGCGGCCCCGACAGTACAAACCGAACAGCCGACACGCCCAATGCTCATGTCTGAATGCGTGTGTGTAGATAGCTGCTTGCAGAGAGAAGAGGCCACTAAATACAGCTATCCGAAACTGTACCTTGTGTGTTTCGGTGTGGGAAGTGGGCTATCCTCGTTACCTCGAAGGATTTTTACGTCTGCAGGCGGGAACAACACAATATTGCCGATTTTTTAAATAGTTCAACGGGGACGCCTTCATATGACTTCATCGGCGAATATTCGATGCACCATGCGTGCGTATCCTTAACCAAGCCGGGGGTAATCCCGAAAACCAGAGCTGGGGGAGGCATATTTTTACACGAATGCTTTTACCCTCGCCGGTGGAGGAGGGGGGAGCGGGTGCCACCCTCGGCAGTTTTTTTTCGCAATAGCTCTGAACAGCCGGTGATAGAGAGCTGAAACTTGACGTGCTTAATCGTTTATTCAAGACGGATCTTTTGACACTAATCGCATTTTCAGGTCAAATCAGGTCACTCATCACTGAGCTATGACGCCATAAGTGAACTGCACGGTCCTAAAATGTCGCGACTTTGCCACGCCCTCAGTGCCAGGGGAGCTTTCGCAGGGAGATGAAATTTACATGATTTGGTATCCTCCAGAGGTCTCACAACTTGTATATCTCGACTTTTTCCTAAAGGTCACCTGAGCCCTGAGGCATGGTTGGTCACGTGACCTCACTATTATAAGTTAATTAAAGGGAAGGGGGGAGTATAAAAAACTGTTATTTTGGCACCATGATCTAAAAATGCCTCAAGCACATGGAATCGTCATTTCACGCACGATCCTTGCTAGATTCGATGCTTCATTTTTGCATCGGTGGACGTTGACCTTGCGTGATATTTATTTGACGGCACTATGGCCATAAAAGTTAGAGATATAGCGGGTCGGGAAAGCCACCATTGGGCCCGAGAAATCGGAAAATCTGCCGAATCGAATGCTATGCAATGTGACCTCGTTCGATTAGCTTCGTAGCCTGAGTGTCTCTGAACTGAGCTTGACCGAGGTGAACATCCTATGTTGGCCTCACCCAAACGAAAAAATATATCATTCGACGCGCCTGAAAATGACGAACACGTGCCACAATCGCAGCTCTGTGAACATTTCTGGAAAAGTTAATTACCTAGAACCGAACCGTCCGATCCCGTACCTATAGGGGCACTTACCTGACCTCAGAGGTCGACGGTTGAGCTGAAACCTTGAAATAGGATCCTAGCTGCTGTGTCTCGTAATGGAGCACACGCTCGTTTTTTCGCGAGGCTCTATAGCTCAATTACGGGCGAAACGGCGATGGGGGCTGTTCTTGCGGTCCCGCCCTCTCCCCTCGGCCGGGGTGTATGTAGAAAACCAATAGGCAAGATATGCACAGCACAACTCGACCCATGGTCATTGGCCATGCTACTGAAAGGCCATTTATGGGTGCACCGTGCATGTCGCATGACCAGAACTGAATCTGACCTGACCCGTGACTTCGTTTTTTTTTTTTTTTTTGGCGGGGGGGGAGGCCCTTTCGGTCTGACCTGACAAGACCATTTCAGAGCCGGAAGGATGATAGGAATTAGGGGGAGACATTGGTCTGGGCAGACACCCTAGAGAGTCGCCGGCGCTGAGCCCGTCTGAATGGACAGGCCGACCAGTCCCCCAAGGACTCTCTGCACCCGGCTACGGGGTGCGCTCCCTCAGGAGCAGCGGTGCCGCTCCAAGGGAGCAGTCCGCATGAGATAAAGGTGCCTGTCCAGGCCGGAGGGGGATTGCGGCGTGGAGGAGAAGGATTTCAGTATCATGAGGATGGAAGCGACGGAACGGAGCCCGTGACTTCCAAATTCGAGAGCATTTATGTCGGCCTATTGCTGACACCTGCAGCGCGATAAAAGAATGTGTAGTTGGAAAAACCTGCCACTAGACGTCAGCACTTGTCAGAGAAGCAATATGGGAAGTTCTTGCTTTTTGGTAACTGCTGAGCTGCTGCTTATATAACAATGCCTGAAGATAGAACGAGAGTCATGCTAAGGTGCCTCTTCTCCAGAGATATGATGGAACCAAGCAGTGAGCTCAGATGTTGCGATCAGTTGCGACATTTTTTGCCTTTGGACGGTGCAATTGTGGCACGTTCGCCCCAAACATTGGTACCGTAAACATTCTTCTGTACTCATTCTAATGATTTCGAAAATAACGTAATCTTACCAAGTTTGATAATTACGTTTATTATTTGCCATTAGATAAGCATTTATGATGAAAGAGCGCAAAAGTTAAATACACTTTAAATTAGTAGCAGCTTCTAGTGAAACCTTTGAGACATTTCCTACGCTAAAAGTTGTTTGAGGCATACACGGCGCAAACTTGATTGTTGCTTGTTGCACTGGATCGTGTGTTGCAAATGCAATGCGGTGTGCTCTGTAAAGTCAGCGAAATATTTAGGAAGTTCGTCATCTCAATAGCTTGTACATTTTTACTATGCCAGTGTCATAAGTTTCTTTCGTCTGCTACGTAACGCCGAAGGTTCAATCTTTTGAACGTGAAACTCGAAATGTGTTCTTTTAGTACCTAACCTCAGTCACTGAAGTTCAGTTGGGCAAACTAGGCGGCGGGAATCAAAATATGGAGGCATCAAAATATTGATTCTAGTGGGCGGAGCTTTGACCATATATGGGCATAGAATCAATATTTTGATTCAATTTGGGACATTCCCACCTTCAGACGACCCGTTACGGCGGAAATAACCCCCATGACGGCGAGATTTTTCGACAAATCAATACAAAAAACTTCCCCGCTTCAATTTTTCGCTGCATGGCTATCAGCCGTTTGTCGCGCGTACCTTTACGAATGGCATAAAGTTTTCGCCGCCATAATTCAACAAAAACGTGCTGTTAAAACTTGCTCTGTTTATCATCAACGACGAGCCTTTGTAATTTTTTCATAATTTTGTCTAAAAGAAAATAAAAAATGCGTTATTAAGTTGTATAATTCATTTATAAGAAATATTCTTTTTCTTTGTATCTAGCCACGATTTACGGTTCCCGCCATTTCGCGCCGGCGTCGTGGGTGTTTGGATGCAACGTAGTGCTCCCGGTTTTATTTTGTTTAAGGGACCTTTTCTGAAGTGTAAGTAACAATGGATCATATTTTAAGATACTTTGAAGTGTGTTTTTCAATTTCAGGCATGTGATCTTAACGTTTCTTACCGAAAACTCGTTTTAAGAGATGGTTTTAGGAACATGGCGCGGTAGCGACGTCAGCGGCGCGGGACGCCTTCTCACTCTTCTATTGTCTTTTTAAGCTATATTTTTTTGCAAATGATGTCTTAGGTGTAGTATTTCAGTGAAACATGATGTCCTTTAAAAGTTACGGTATAAATTAGTTACAAGAAGCCTAATGTTTTGTCTCACATGATAGAATTGTTGGGTGGACTCATGAAATGGGGGCAGTGCATGTCCAGTATTTTACATAATTTGGATGTTTTAGCCTCTGCTTGTGTCTCACTCACCCAATTGTTGCTACAACTTTAATTTGTAAGTGTAACAAAAGCAAGTTGCTGAATGGTGTAAGCCATATTTACATTATGCGTGATCTTCAAGAAAATTATGTGTCTAATGTACGTCAGTCCAGGGAATGCTGGATAGTTAATTTTCAGGATTGTCCATGCCAAAGTTAATTTTAGAAGCCAGTTTTATCAACACAAATAGCTGCCTGCTGGAATTTTTTTGCCTAAAGACTGCTTCACATATGGAGCGTTAACATGATGGGCACGTAAACGGATAGGGCTGTACCGTTCATGCTCTGTATGTGAAGTAACTTTTAGACCAAAAAAAAAATCCAGCAGCCACCTATTTTTCTGTTGGTACAACTGGCCTCAGATCTACTTTTTTGGCAGAATTTATATAACTGCATGAGATGACAGTTGTTGGCGCAACTGGTGGCGTTCAGTGGAAATTTAAGTGACATTAAGTCTTTAATTTTTCAATGTCCCAAAATTTGTCTATTTGGGTGGGAAACGACATCCAAATGAAATTCATTTTCCACTCTCACCACCATTTTTAAGAACAATTTTCCACTCCCAAGTCCCAACCAAGAAAACATAGATTTTTTACCTATAGAAAGACAGTTGTGTGGATGCCCAGTTAGCATCAAACATTCTACACCCTATAATAAAATGCATGCTTTTTGTCATTTCTCACTCCTTTTTGATCTAATCGAATCAGCAGTTTTCCACTCTCTCCCCTCTTTTTGGTGGGTAATTTTCCCCTCTGACACCCAAGACAAAACTCAATTTTGGGACACTGTAATTTTTTATTGAATATATTCTAAAATTAATAGTTGCTGAACAAGTAGAATAATGACACATATAGTTTCCTTAATATTGTCCACAAATGTCCTAATTATTGTGTTCTGTTGACTGTTTGCTGCAGGTCAACCAAGGATCAAACACTGGTCGTTGCGGGGATCGGCTTCAGAGGGTCAAGGATGGCGTCTTGAATCGCTGTTCAGTCGACAGGCAACTGTATGACAACGCCATCCTTGTCAACCAGAGCGTCGACCGAAGTAGGGCGGCGTTGCGCGGACCTGGCCGCACCCGACCAACCGGTGGAGTACCTGACTCGGGCTGGGCGGAGACTACCTACATCACGACCTTTTGAACTTTGATCTCGTGGCGAGAAACAATATGACGTAAGGAAGTGTGTATGTGGCTGGCGGGGCCGAGGGTGAAATGCGCCACGTGTTTATCCTGCCGGATGACGACAGCGTCACCAACCTGTCAAAGAACGAGCTGGTGCAGCGCGTGATGACTGCTATCTCGTCCCTAGAACCGGAGTAGAAAAACGTGCGCAAAGCCCAAATGAAGCGAACCAAAACACAGACAGGACTGATAGCTTTTCGGTCGAGAATGTTCTGAAGATGCTGATCAGTAGACCAATTGGTGACCGTTTTCGGTGGTACTATGGGATCTTGTGGTGTTCCAAAGCGACCTGCTTTGGGTGTGGACATAAGTGGCTCAACCTGACAGGATTGATGTTTTAGGTAGCCGTGCTAATCATAAACCCTATATTGAGTGTATCTGTACAAATTTTGTTTATATTTATTTCATGTATTTGGTTCGAAACCGAAAATTGCTCTCAGTAATTAGGCAACATCGAGACGTTGAGGTCATTCTCCAGACGTTTATTTGTTTTTTCTTACCTGTCCACGGTATGTCTTATTGGTTAGGTCTGTTTCAAATATTATTAACTGCATGTTTTGCAAATACGTAGCCATATTGAATAAGAGACGTGTCCTAAAAGTGAGTATTGCTTTGCATAGGATGTGAGCATCAACGACAGGGCTTTGTGATGGCAAATGTGTGGCAATTGCAGGGATCGTTGTGAAATGTGTTATGAATATCATCGTATTATTTGCGACTGCAAGTACATCCGTGTATCATATTTTCATTCAAATTGTGCAATTTGTGCAACGGGCTGAGTGTATCGTTCGGCGAAATATCTCTTACTGTACTCCACAGAAATGGGACGGGATACAGATGCGTAGAAACACATTCATGAACACGTGAAAGACGATATGTTAACTTTTTTTTACTCAAAATCAATACTACAAAGCAGGGATGTGGGGCCGTGAAAATGTCAGACGGCTTCGGCTCCGGAGGAAAAAAATCGGCTCCAGCTCCGGCTCCGGCTCCGAGTAAAATGGTCGGGCTTCGGTTCCGGCTCCGACTCAGTACAACCCCTATACAAAGGTCAGCACGGCTCCCTTCACGCATTCCCTCGAAGGCTTGCAGCTTTGAGCAGGGAGCCAGGGCGAGTGCTGAAAATCCCTGGTCTACCGTGGGAATAAGGTCTAGAAAAAAATTACACGATCCTGTGCTGATAATATCTTCATGAATTTATTGAATTTGCATTATTTGCACACAAGAAACATTCCATAAATCAATTTGAAGAGTTAAGTACGCCTGCAGAAAGTCAGTTTGCAGAATCAATATATTGATAAACCAGCTGATTTCAGAATCAAAATAATGATTAGCCAGCTGTTTGCGGAATCAAAATATTGATTCTCGCCGGGATTAGCCGCCGTGATGAATCAATATCTTGATTATTTTTAAGACGCTTTCCTTAACTAACCAAAGAGGTTAGGGCTATTGTTTCGTGCCTGGCGGGTAGCTTCAACGTTGTTCTTCATTTTGTGAAGAAGCTATCTTGAAATTATAGCCGGTTGCTGAAGAATTGACGTTCCTGTGATGGTCTGCACGTATGCCCATATATGGTCAAAGAGAATCAATATTTTGATGCCTCCATATTTTGATTCCCACCGCCTAGTTTGCCCAACTGAGTTTGAACCTTCTTGATTTGAGAAAAACACGTTTTAGTGAAACCGTAAAGGTGAGATTCAATAATTTTTCCTTTAATGTTTTGGGTTTACTTATGTTTACTACAGTGCAGCTGCAGTGATCAGTGTTCTAAGGTTTGATAAAAGTTTGCAACAGTTTCTCATTCTAGCAGCCACTAATATTTAGCTTTTTTGGCTGGCTTCAGGTAAGAATTTGACATTAAACATACTCTTATACTTTACTGAATAATTAACACCTTTACCAGACGGCACGGCAGTGCACGGAAGGAGTTGACATATGACACTGGGTAGAGGCTATGGGTCTGTTCCAGTGGCACTTCGTAACACCTCTAAACTCCAAGAGCAAGATAGAGGAGGTTGGAGCAGGGCCCTCCTTGGCTTTGTAGGGGCTAGAGCTGCCACTAAAACAGGGAAGCAATCTTGGAGGACTTAAGAGGTGTTAGGAAGTGCGACTGGAACAGACCCTATAACACTCCTCTATGCTTTGGGAGCTGATATTCTGTTGGATGTTTTCCATTTCTGCTAGTTACACCCCACCTCTACTGGGGTATCCCTCTTCTACTTGGAGATAGTTCTACCGATGAGTGTCCCTCTTCTGTGTGCTCCCCACACCTGGTGCGATATGTGGTATGCAGAGCGCTGCTTAGCCTATTGGTGTGTACTTAGGCTTGATTGGGAGCAATTTTTATAGGTATAGGTGCATCTGCTCTCTGCACCCACACTAAGAAGTTATACATTTGACTGTGACAGATGGGGTGGGGGTGGGGGCCTACTGAGGTACTTCTTACCTGATAGTAGCAGTTCAAAAGAACTTGCATTGCTTGACCTCTATGATAATGTAGCCCATCTTATTCTTTACCATAGCCAACTGATAACTGAAGCCATCCATCCAACTAATACTGAGTTTTTAATCGTTTGGATGGTTGGCATGAGTGAAAACATTATAGTCAAAATTGATGTGAAAATTATCAATAACTCTTTGGTAAACTAAAGAACCAATACAATTTTTGGCATGTTATTGATCATTTTCACATCAATTTTGACTATAATACTGAGTTTGTCAAGATTGAGGTGAACATATTTTTGCTTGGCTTATGGACCACATCAACATATTGTATCATACAAAGCCTAAATTAAACTACCATGTTTTTTACCATTATTATGTCATTTTTTCTTTATACACAATAGGTCACAGCAGGTTTCAGTGTCCCTCTTGGATATCTCCCTTCCGTCCTTTACTCCCTTGCTCTCCCCTCAATCAGGCCTACTAGCTAGGCACCCTGTTCTCCCTTTTGCTCTTCCCTTCCAGCACCCTTCCTGCTTGCCTTCATTTTGCTTTTCCCCCTATGCTTCAGCCCTCTGTTCCTATCTTATTTCCACTGCTTTCCTCTTACCTCTGCTGCCCCATCCACTCCCTCTATCTATATTATTAACTATTTTTTTTCAATGCTCCTTCTCCCCATTCTGTTTTCCCTTCTCCATATTCTCCCCACACTTACTTCACTTTTACCCTTCCTACTGTCTCTCTCCCCTGCTCCCCTCCATCTCACTTCACATCTTTGCATTCCTTCTCATCTCTTCCTCCCTTTTCCTCTTGCTCTTAATGTCCCTTCTTTCTTGTCTCTCCCTCATGCCCCTTTTCTCCTCTCTAACCCATCTAACTCCCTCCTCCGCAGCCCAGAGCACCACAATGAACGGCTCCGGCCGCGGCCCGGGCCCGGTGCCGCCGCGCTGGCTGCAGTGCCCGCGTAAGGCGCTCAGCGTCATCGGTGACAAGTTCATGGCGTTCAAGACGCCGCTATCGTCCCAGTTTGACGCCCAGGTCCCCGTAGAGTGTCGCTTCAACCCGGGCATGCTCGTCTCGTCGCTCAAACAGTACAAGGTGAGTGCTGTGAAGGTGTGTGGTGGAAGTATGGGTTATGGGTTGAGACTTGAGTTGACGTGAAGGGAGGTGGAGTCCTGTCCGCTGTGATGATAACACTATGCAACAGTCATTTTGTTCCTGAGTTACGACCGATTTTTTTGGACTCATTGGGTCTCATTATAACCGAAACGGGCATTTGCTTTGATCTGAAAATGCTTTTCCGGTTTTCAGAGACGATTTTCGATTTCTGGCCCCGAAATTTGTTTTTTGGCCCACCGTGTCCGGTGTAATTAAGTAATCGACTCGCGGTAACTTTAATCGCCTTTCCTATGCCACAAGCTTTCGAATGATATCCGGTTTTGCATATTTGCGTGTAAAGATAACGTCATAAATCTATGTTAAAGTTAGAAAATGTTGAAATTTTGTAAAAATTTGACATATTTTTCGATTTCATTTCAAAATAGAAAAAAAACTAAAGGCCCTATCCAAATTCTGAGCCCAGTTCCTTGAAGAGCATTCAATTTCCGTTCGGAGGGTACTATTTTAGTGCATTTATCTGTTTACTGTGGCGTCCAGATTGAATCACTTGAAAAACGGGCCCCCAGCCATTTCCATGACAATATGTGTTCACTCAGTGCATGAAGAATCATTCTAACAAATGGAGGTACCTACAGATCAAGATTCTGAGCGACAGGACTGCTCAAAAGTAAGTTCCTGCGTGTGACCCGAGGTCAAGAGGGGTCAACAACATGACCTCAGTTCACCCCTCGTTGACCCTATGGCGTTAACATACGTTATCAGGTTAATGCTATGTGATATGACCTAGGGTATGTGTTTAGGTTAATTCAATCTGGAGGCCACAGGAATCCGATAAAATGCACTAAAAAAGTACCTTCCGAACGGAAATTGAATGTTCTTCAAGGAACTGGGCTCAGAATTTGGATAGGGCCTTTAGTTTTTCCTCTATTTTGAAATGAAATGGGGAAAAATGTAAAAAAATCCAAGTTTTAACATTTTCTAACTTTAACATAGATTTATGACGTCATTTTTAGGCGCAAGTATGCAAAACCAGGTATCATTCGAAAGCACGTGGCATAGGAAAGGCGATGAAAGTTACCGTGAATTGATTGCTCAATTACATCGGACACGGTGGGCCAAAAGCCGAATTTCGGGGCCAAAAATCCAAAATCGGCCCTGAAAACCGGAAACACATTTTCAGATCAAAACTAATGCCCATTTCGGTTATGATAGGACCCAATGAACAAAAAAAATTTGGTCGCTTTCCAGGAACAGAAAATCTTTCATTCTTTGTTGCATAGTGTAATGGGGCACAGTCCACAGATTGGTGATCTGTGGTGATGTGGTTGGGATGGATGACTGCAGTAAGCATAGGAGGATGCTACCCCACCTCCCTCAGAATTCCTTCAGGTTCATTCTTCTGCCTTCTCCATTTCCCCTGACGGCATACGAATCAAATTTTGTCGTCAGATCTACCCTCGACATAGTCTGACCGATGTGTCATTTTCAGTCATGGCACCATGTCGTCATCAACATCGGACATTCCCCATTTTACCTGAAGTACCAGTCATCCTAGGTACCACTTGATGTCACATGTCACACCGCTGTCACCAGACTGTATGACTACCAAGCCGAGTCCTCACTGACTAGGCCGAGTCGCTCGGCCGTCCTCAGGTAAAGCTGGGTCTGTGGATCGACCTCACCAACACGACGCGCTTCTACCCGCGAGAAGAGGTCGAGGAGGAGCTCGGCATCAAGTATGTGAAGCTGCAGTGTCGTGGTCACGGAGAGACACCCTCGCCGGAGCAGACACGCGTCTTCATCAACCTCTGTAGCACCTTCATCAAAAAGAACCCCCTGCAGATGATAGGTAGGGCTAGATGCTTTGCAGGAAGTGACAACGAGGTAAGAGATGGGTGAAGTTTATATGGGGACCCCATATTCTAAATTCAAATGTCTTTCTTTTCTGTCTTTCAATTCCTATAGAGATTGAAGCTATAAAGTTATAGATGGCACATAAATAATCCTGCATTTTCATGCAGACATGTTGCTAAGAACGCAAAGTTGAAGCTGAATGAGGTGCTGCCTTTGAAATAAGCTGCATGCTAGTGTTTTCTCACAAGATGTGATCCAACCCGATTCTACCTTGAACAGCCCTCTCCGCCACCCGCTCCGCCCATCAGGGATCCACTGCACTCACGGCTTCAACCGTTCTGGCTTCCTGATCGCCGCCTTTCTGGTGGAGAACGGAGACTGGAGCATTGAGGCGGCGGTGGATGCCTTCGCGCGCGCCAGGTCAGATAGGGAGGACAGGGTTAGGTCAGGGGAAGGTCAGATAGGATGGGGCCGACTGAGATTAGATTAACAGGCTCAGGGTGGCACCCGGTCGATGGATGGCTGCAGCGCCGTTGTGCCATTAACCATCTTCAATTGTTAGTCCCGAGATCCCTTGTTATTGTTGTTATCTCACCCTTCCGTGCAAGCAGATGTAATCTATGAATTCAGTTAGTATGGCAGACTGTCTTTGATAAACATCTGCTATGATGTGTTCAGATGAAACGTCAACCAGCTCTGAAAATCTCTCGGTCACTGATTGTCGTCGTTTTTTCCGCAGACCGCCGGGTATCTACAAGAAGGACTACATCGACGAGCTGTTCCGGCGGTACGGGGACGTGGAGGACGCGCCCGACGCGCCCGAGCTGCCCGACTGGTGCTACGGTGAGGGCCTGTTGGGTGTGCCTGTTAGGGCCTGTTAGGGGGCACGTTAGCAGGGTGATATCTTTAGACGCTGTGAGATTCAAGTGGTGATATACTCGAGGATGGTGGGACTAACATTGTTTGTAAACTGGACCTCAGGCTATGTGAGAAAGTAGGGCGAACTAAGGCTTCCTACTTGTTTAATAATAATGGCGTAGCTGATTAGAATTGTGGCTATGAAATCTAGACTGTAACGCTTATCACGTCCTCTTGATACATCCGTTTTCATACTGGCCGAAACGTAAAAAAAAAAAATACATTGCCAAACACACCACTCGCTGTCGGTTGGCGTGCCTCGCATCTCTCTTACATCCCTTGCTAACGCTCCCTTCTCTCCCCCCCCCCCGCTCTCAGACGAGGCGAGTAACGGTTTGGATGACGACGGCGACCCGTTGGCGTCGGGCGGGGATGACGACTCGGCGCCGGCCGGCCGCACCGCCGGCGGAGGCGGCGGCCGGCGCGAGCGCAACAAGAAGAACCCCCAGTTCATGGAGGGCGTGCCCGGAGTGCGTGCCATCACCTCACAGCCGCGGCTCGGACAGATTCAGAAGCGCATTCAGGAGATGTGCGGCTGGAACGAGTGAGTAGTCCGTTGGGGAGATTGGGATCTCATTGGCTGGCTTTGGGAACCGGGGGAACAAGTGGTTGCTGTTTGGGATTAACTGACCAACTAGTTATATGCCCGGGAAGGGAGGTGTGCTGTTTATGGTTAGTCGGTGGGGGAGATTCGTCATGGTTGGTTGTGGGGCGATAAATTGATAAGGTCCGCCAACCAACAGCATGTGACTGTTACGTGGAGATGTGATGTCATCAGAATTGCTTGGTCGGAGAAATTGCGTGCTAGATGCAGGGATGCTAGATGCAGGGGAAGAACTCGTGTTTGTGAATCATCTCTCGTCTGCTAATTTATCATCACTATCTAATGTCGCTCTTTTTGCCAGTTAACCCCTCCCACCGACGGTGACATTGTTGACGTGTGGCCCGCTGTCTGTCTGCAGCACCGGTTTTCCTGGCTGCCAGCCGGTCTCCATGGACCGAGACAACATGCAGTTCCTGGCCGACACACCGTACAAAGTATCCTGGAAGGCGGATGGCACAAGGTGGGTGTCAGAAATACTAGTGGGCAGGCTGCGCTACCCTGCAATACACCGGAGCATCCTCAGGAAATAAGCCGGAGTATCTCGGTCAACGGCTGTTTATAAATACATTGTATGTGGTTTCAGTGATGGCTCGATAAGTGTGTCTGATGTTGTATCCCGCTTTCCCGACAACTGTTTCTACTTTTTCACATTCGTTTGTAACAAAAGCTTTCCGACGGAGGTATAAATTTAATGAGTGTACTGGTAAGCCTCGTCTTTTAATGATGTGTATTGGGATGAAATGGAGAGGTTGGTAAGTTACTGTATCCCATTTCAGCCCCTGTGCCTGTATTTATAGTTACCGTGCCTCTGCCGGCCAAAGGAAGAAACGCGTAACTCCCAAATCCGAACTTTCCAGGAGAGCCAAAAAACATGTTCGGACCTTTCACGGCTCCTGTGGTCTGAATATTCAAAACAAATACAGCACAAATAATACCATTGGAATCTCCACTGTCCGCTCTCGTCAGTGATACCAATATTTTTATTTTAAATTATGTCGCATGCAAGAAATACGTCTATACTTTTCTTCCTTTGCAGCTGTTGAGTCACATCAATCGAAATCCCAATGGAAGAAACGCGTGAATCGGTTATCTGGAGCTACGCGTTTCTTCCATTGGGATTTCGGCGCACGCGCTACATCGACGTTGTGGAAAAAAAGGGCAGACACAGTAATGAATGAACGGATGAATGAATGTCTGGCGTGTGAGATCTAAACCGCTTCGAATCTTGACTGTTTAACTGAATAATTTCGATGTTTAACTGTATAACTGTCCCTCTACGTCTTTATGTGTATATGAGTGCATTTAACTCTGGCATGTGCAGATATTTTAAATTAACTCAGCGCGTCTTACCTTATAGAATATACTGGAATCATTGAGATATAGTCAACAAAAGGCTATCAACTCAGCAGCCTGACATTCAAAACAGAAGGGAACAATGGGGTATATTTCGGTTGCTGAAGACAACATAACACTGTATAAACACCACCCATCCAATACACACAACGCCAGTATACAGACAGAAATCGCCTGGAAGCGGGAGGGCGGTATCTCCGGCGCCGGGGGTCACGGCGACCGCCCCCTGTCCCATCCAACACACACATGACACAACGGCATCTTCGCCGACATATTCTAGCATCTGCGCAGCGGCTGCGCAGATGGCTGAGACAGGCTGAGACTGCTGAGGCTGAGGCTGCCAGGCTGATGCAGCCTCAGCCTGCCAAATCGCGCACCTTCTTTCCTTGCAGAGATTCCCAGAACTCGCGCTTGTAAGGCGTCATCAATTGGTGCCAGTACTTTCAGGATTCTGTCCAACTTATCCTTATTTACTCCACGAGCGACCGCTCGCCTATTGGGCTGCGTGGTTGGGTCGTACGTGGTCTTGAACAGGTCATAAGCGGCCCAGCTGGGGCTGCCATGTCGTGTTACCGATTGATATGTCGATAAAATGTATGTCGTGTCGAGATACCGGCGATTTGGCGCGTGCAAATACCGGTAATGTGGCGTCAGCGGATGGTAGCGCTCAATGTGCTGCTTTAGCTCTGTAGCCAGAAGTTTCACGCCAGCCAGCGAGGCGCGGCCACGCTCGTCCCTTTTGGGGGATAGCTTCCCGACAGCTGTCAAGATCACCCCATCGCTGGCCTCACTGAAACCCATCGTTGTTAGGCAGAATTCTTTACAGACACGCTGGTTTCGGCCATTTTCCAACGGGAGTCGATAAACGATGAGCCGCCGCCTGGCAGAGGCAACATCGGTTAACGGAGGGCTGTCAGTCAGAGTCGGGGTCTCATCGGTGACGTGGGTGGCATACCACTGAAGCCTAGCGTCCCTGGGCAGTGAGTTGACAGTTGTATTTATGTTTTCCCTCTGTGCCTGGGATATGTGAGAGGTGCATTCGAACCGGCATTTGCGGTTGAGACATGCTGTAGGAATAGGTCGGACACTATGCTTTTGTTTGAAGGCCAGGATCTGTGAGATCCTGCGTTCTGGCACGTTTTTTAGACTGTCCAGGGGTAGAAGGCTCACAGCTGGTGCCTTCTTCGCGGGGTGTCCGATAGCTTGTCGTACCGCGATCATATTCGCCCCTGTCGCCGTCGGCTCCGACGTCGGGGACAGGTCCAACAGCGGCGCCGAGGTCAGGACCAGCGGGGCCGGGGTCAGGACCAGCGGGGTCGAGTTCAGGACCAGCGGCGCCGAGGTAAGGACCAGCGGCGCCGAGAAAAGGACCAGCGGTGCCGGGGTCAGGACCAGCGGGGTCGAGTTCAGGACCAGCGGGGCCGGGGTCAGGACCAGCGGGGTCGAGTTCAGGACCAGCGGGGCCGGGGTCAGTGCCACCGGGGCCAGGGTCAGGACCAGCGGGGTCGAGTTCAGGACCAGCGGGGTCGAGTTCAGGACCAGCGGGGTCGAGGTCAGTGCCACCGGGGCCGGGGTCAGGACCAGCGGGGTCGAGTTCAGGACCAGCGGCGCCGAGGTAAGGACCAGCGGCGCCGAGAAAAGGACCAGCGGTGCCGGGGTCAGGACCAGCGGGGTCGAGTTCATGACCAGCGGGGCCGGGGTCAGGACCAGCGGGGTCGAGTTCAGGACCAGCGGGGCCGGGGTCAGTGCCACCGGGGCCAGGGTCAGGACCAGCGGGGTCGAGTTCAGGACCAGCGGGGTCGAGTTCAGGACCAGCGGGGTCGAGGTCAGTGCCACCGGGGCCGGGGTCAGGACCAGCGGGGTCGAGTTCAGGACCAGCGGCGCCGAGGTAAGGATCAGCGGCGCCGAGAAAAGGACCAGCGGTGCCGGGGTCAGGACCAGCGGGGCCGAGGTCAGGGCTAGCGGGACCGAGGTAAGGACCAGCGGGGCCGGGGTCAAGACCAGCGGTGCCGGGGTCAGGACCAGCGGGGTCGAGTTCAGGACCAGCGGGGCCGGGGTCAGGACCAGCGGGGTCGAGTTCAGGACCAGCGGGGCCGGGGTCAGTGCCGCCGGGGCCGAGGTCAGGACTAGCGGGACCGAGGTAAGGACCAGCGGGGCCGGGGTCAAGACCAGCGGGGCCGGGGTCAGGACCAGCGGGGTCGAGTTCAGGACCAGCGGGGCCGGGGTCAGTGCCGCCGGGGCCGAGGTCAGGACTAGCGGGACCGAGGTAAGGACCAGCGGGGCCGGGGTCAAGACCAGCGGGGTCGAGTTCAGGACCAGCGGGGCCGGGGTCAGTGCCGCAGGGGCCGAGTTCAGCCCGCACAGGTAGGCCAGCGAGGTCGAGATGATCAGTGGGACCGAGTTCGGGGACACTTTCAGCGGCGGGGTCAAAGTTAGGACCTGATAGAGGAACATCGATGAGATCACAGCTGGAAAGGCTACCCAAAAGTCGAATGAAGTTATATGACCCAGTACCAAGAAAATAATCAACATTGCACAGATCATCAAGCTGTGGCTCGTCGGTAACTGGCGGCAGCTTGGCGCCTACGGCATTGACATTGGTTAGCTGATACTCATCCGCTGAAGCACCAGCAGGTCCGGCGGCCACCGTCGAGCCGCTGTCGAGGGCCGCCTGAAGATGCTGTCCATCAACACCGTCGGCATCAGCCTGGTATCAAACACGCCACTCCGGGTCCACGCGTTTCTTCCTTTGGTTTTCGAGCTGCTACGAGCGTAAACCGCAATGGAAGAAACGGGTGAAATCTCACGCGTTTTTTCCTTTGGCCCCTTGGACCAATTGCACCCACCTCGCAACTGACGCTATTTTGCCAAACTAAGATAGGTCATAACTTTTTCAAATAACATCAGATCGTTCCAAAATTGGCATAGTAGGATGCGTCTTGAGAAGGGCTATCGATTGATATAAAAAAACAAAAATGTCAAAAATCGAGTTACGCGTTTCTTCCTTTGGACGGCAGGCCTGTCCTTACCCTGTGGAACTCCCCCCTTGTCGGCAGGTATATGATGCTAATAGACGGAGAGGATCAGATATATTTCGCCGACCGAGATAACGCCATTTTCCGGGCCCGTGGTCTCACCTTCCCTTACCGGAAGAACCTCAGCGAACACCTGGCCGACACCCTGGTAGACGGGGTAAGCCGGAGCGGGTAACGCGTAATGCGGGTGGGTTGGGGCAAGTGGCAATGCAGGGTGATTTTGACTGGAGTAAGGTCGGGTTAGGGATAACAGGCGATGTTGGAAAGGATGGGGAAACTACGTGAACACTGAGTAGGGTAGCAGGACGTGTACATGGTAAGGGAAAGGGTATGGTGGATTTACTGCGGACAGAATAACTACTTTTTTGGGATACGGATGATGGTGTTATATTAGAGATTAACGGTAGTGTAAAGACGTAGACATGCCAGGGTGACAATCTCGATGATAAGGAATATGTGGATCTTGTGAAAAATTGCTTTGATTAACAAACAAACAAGCACGTGTATCCACCTCGTGCTGACGCCTCCACTTGTTCCACCCGCCGCCTCTGACCGCGCCGTCTGATCTCCCCGCTCGCTGCGCCCTGTCCCACAGGAGATGGTCATAGACCGGATCAACGGCCAGGACCACCCGCGCTTCCTGGTGTATGACATCATCCGCTTCCGCGGCGAGGAGGTCGGCAAGACGCGCTTCGACACACGGCTCACCTGTATACGGGTTAGTAGGTATACGGCTGTACGGCTCACCTGTACAAGGGTCAGTGGATAGTCATACGGCTCACCTGTACAAGGGTCAGTGAACGGCTGTACGGCTCATCTGTATACGGATTAGTAGGTATACGGCTCACCTGTGTACTGATCAGTCAGCTGATACGGTTTGTATTCTGTATACGTGTCAGTGTATACGGCTCACTGGCTTCTGGATCATTCAGGTCATAGATAAGTTTTATTCTACAGTAGAATCCGTTTGATAAATCCACCTTGGTGACATGGCATTTTGGATTTATTAAGCAATGGCTTTATTAACTGGGGTTAGTTATGCTTCTATGGAGAGATCCGTGAACAGCTCAAGTGGCCACAATAAGCGACTTGATTTATTATCCGAGGATTTATTAAGCGGATTCTACTGTATGTACATTCAGTCATGGGTCAGTTTATATTCTCTACATGGGTCAGTGTGTGAGGGTGAGGGGTCAAATTATGTATATGGGTCACATGTGTACAGGTCACAGGTATATGTACAGATTACACGTGTACGAGTCAATGTTCACAGTCTCCACTTTCGTAGCTGGTCGAATGTTTGTCAATTTAAAGTTAAATGGTGTCTCTGACTTTGTATAGTTAAGCGTTGGGTGAGTTAAGCGTTGAACTGGGTCGGCCAGAGATCAGATTCTATGTAGTCTGTCCTCATCAGTCACTTCACCAGACATCTAACTCCCTCCTTTTCCCCCGCAGAAAGAGATCATAGAGGCTCGTCACACGGCGATAGAGGCCGGGCGGCTCGACAAGTCTTCAGAGCCGTTCTCCATCCGCGCCAAAGACTTCTGGGACCCGATGCAGACCAACAGTCTGCTCAGTGAGAAGTTCTGCCGCTCGCTGGGCCACGAGCCGGATGGCCTCATCTTCCAGCCGCTGAACGACGTGAGTGGCGACTGGTGTGGGTAGGGGATGGGACTCGGTGGGGTAGGGGTAGGCGTAGCGCTGTCGAACGCGTGCTGAGAGAGGGGGCAGAGTCTGCTACTGTTGCAGGTGTGAACCGTGACTCTTGGGGCGGAGAAAAAAGAAATGGTGAGGTCATAAGTTTTGATTTTTCAGTGGTCCTTGCTATTCATATGAATGATAAATGCTCTATGTTTCAGTAAATTGTTTCATTTTAACATTACATTTTTCCACAATGCTGTGATAAACTAATAGTTTGTTTTGCTAATATTTAACACCTATGCCATAGGTGTTTTTGCTTCACCTAATCGGGGTAACAATATATAGTGATTCATCTGCAGTGGAGTTTGCGTCGAGCTGTTAATTATCCCGTGCTGTATCACCCTGCTGTCTGGACCGGCCTGGCCCCATCACACCTACCATACCTAACAACCCTCCCTCCTCTGTTTTCAGCCATACGTCGCGGGCCGCTGCGACATGGTGCTCAAATGGAAGCCGGCCTCGCACAACTCGGTCGACTTCCGGCTGAAGATCGTTAACGAGGGCGGAGAGGGGTGAGCGAATGGGTAGCGGGTCGTGGACAGAGCTTCTGACGAGGGGGGGGGGAGAGAGAGAACGCTGGGCTGTTGCGGCAAGGTCAGTGGAGACTGGAGAGCATAAGGAATCGTGGCAGGGGGCGTTTGATTTGTCTTGGGATGGCTGGGAGGGAACATAGTATGGGTAACTGCGCGTCCAGGGATTTATTGGCAGTACATTACGGAGCATGGTGTGACTGTGTAGTTCATTGTGCATTGCGCGTTGGTTTGCCTGATCAGGCAGGCCACATACACTGCGCCTAGTTACACTACTGTGACCCGTTACCTCGCCTTTTTTAACGTGTACTCCATGCCCTGTCACTGCGTCTTGTTACGTGTTCTGTTACATGTCCCTGCAGCTACCATGTCCTGCTAGTCCTGTTACCATGCCCTGTAATTACCGTGTCCTGCTACCGTGCCCTGTTACTGTGCCCTGTTACCATGCCCTGTGACTATGTCATTGTCCTGTCATCGTGCCCACTGCTTTATTACCGTCTTTGTTACCACGCCCTATTCTCTGCTGCCGCCAGGATGCTGACTCGGAAGCGCGGCCTGCTGTACGTCGGCTCCCTCCAGTCCCCGTTCGCACAGATCAAACTCACCAAGGAGCTGAAGGCGCTCAACAACAAAATAATCGAGTGCACCTTCGAGAACAACCAGTGGGTGTTCATGCGGGAGAGGACAGACAAGAGCTATCCCAACGGCTACGAGACGGCCAAATGTGAGTTTCGGGCGAGGACAGGTGCATTGGGGTGTAGTGGGGGCAGGCCGGCAGGCGGCGCGGGTAGGAATGTATGTATGATGGGATCACCAAGTCACCTAACGCCGTCTCCTGGATTTGTTGTATACTTCTGACGCCCAGTTTTTCGTCCCCTCACTGACAGTTTTCGTTAGTTACACCGTGTGTCTAAGGTCTATCTGGTAGTGCTATTGTAACACCTTTCTCAGTCCCTGACTGATCTTCGGTCTCCACACCTCACTCGTGTGTCTTTGTGTCCCCAGCGGTGTGTAACACCATCAGTCATCACTCGGTCACCAAGGAGACCCCACACCTCACTCGTGTGTCTATCTGTCCCCCAGCGGTGTGTAACACCATTAACTGGTCACCAAGGAGACCCCACACCTCACTCGTGTGTCTTTCTGTCCCCCAGCGGTGTGTAACACCATCCAACACCCGGTCACCAAGGAGATGCTACTCTCCTTCATACGGGAGCGGGCCAAACGACGGCCAGACAACGACCTCATGCCACCGCCAGCCGCCAAACGACAACGGTGAACGCCGGCCGGCCCGCCCACCCGCCGCGAGCCGTCACAGTGAGCTGTGCAGGTCACACGTGACCGGTGACCTGTCAGGTGACCCTTGACCCGTGAGCTGTGACCCGGGGCACGCCGCATGTCCGACAGGGGACGGTCAGCTCCCCGTCCTGTCCCTCCCCGTCCGCTCGTGTCCCCCACATTCCCCCGACCCGCTCCCCGTCTTCCCGACCCTCCCAGTCGCCTGCCCCCTGTCAGGGAGTGAGGTGGCCCTTATCAGACAACCAGCGGCTGCTCTTCCCCAGCTGTGCTGTCCCGTGGTCAGCGGACCCGCCGGCGGCTGTGCTGGTCTGGTGGCTGCCCCGCTGGCCCGGCCGCGCTGGCCTGGTCACTGCTCTGCTGTGCTGGTCAGACGAGGTCTGGTCGGGTGGCAGCGGAAGGCAGTGGGTGCTGGCCCGGTGGTAGTCTGAGAGGACAAGTCTGAGTTCTGCTCGTTGTTGAGACGCGCTGACTCCGGGACACGCCGAAGTTCAGCATGGTGGATCGGCGTGCTGCCCCAGTTGCGGCAGAGCCTCTCCAGACGAGTATCCCTGTGGGGGTATTGTGCGTGGCGTGCCATCTAACGTCCAGCACGTGAGGATTCCAGAGTGCCACGCTGGCAACGCCTCCTAGCGGCGCGAGGTCGGTTGAGGACTCTGTTCTCCAGGACCGGGGTAGTTGGTGGTCGCCTCGGGCTGTTTTAGGTCACCTGAGGTCACTGTGGTCACCTGAGGTCACCTGTGGTCACCTGAGGTCAGACTGTGGTCACCTGAGGTCACTGTGGTCACCTGAGGTCACCTGAGGTCACCGCTCATAGTGCTTTGGAGTCAGTTGACATCTCGCGGTGTGGTGGTTTGATCTGTTGAAGCGCCGTTCCCCCGGCCAAGTGGTCAGGCGGGACGGAGCGACCCCCGCACCACCGGTCAGGGGGTGTTTTAATGACGCAGGCGCCGGTAGGGGCCGGACGGGGACTTTCCTCTGACCCTGACCCTGCCCTATGTGGCCTGAGGCCGACTCCTGGCGGGCTGGCTGACCTGTGGTTGACCTATCTCCCGCTGCTGTTCGCCGGGTGATAGATGCTGTTGTGCCGTCCGTTCAGAGGGCGTTGACCGGTGGTTTTTGGTGGTTACCGCGATGGTTACCGCCTGGTTTCCGTGGCCGCCGTGTTGGTTCAGTGCGATGGTTGTCAGTTGTGGTTACTGTGCCCCCCATTTGAGGAGAGCCCCGATTAGGTGGTGGCCAGTGACATATTTATATATAATACAGGTGTATGAAGTCGCTCAGTGTGTGTTCCTCATTTGTTGCTATGTGTATCTGTTGGCTTAAGGTAGAAAGGTTATGATCCGCTTTACAGTAATCAGTAATGACAGCAAGCGCTTGAAATTATGTGTATTTCCATAGTCATTGTATCGAGGCGTGCAGATAGCTCCAATGGCATTTCCACCGGCACTAATCGGTGAATACGCTAACATGCATGTACTTCAAGGATAAACACACTTCGCTAATAGCTTTGTCGTCACGGGTGCTTAACCTATTCGGCATTGACGGCCACTGGGCAGGCCGCTCGTCAAACGCCGCGGGTGCCACCGCGACGAATGCTTACATTGACGATGGCACGCTCCCTTTGGGCGAATATTCGCGCTGTCCTGCCGCCCACGTCCGTTCCGCTCACGCTCTGGCCGTGAGTTCACCGTGAAATCACAGTTCACGGCCGGGGTCTGACGAGCTGAGCACCGTGACGCCGTCCACGGGTCTGTCGATTTGGTCACGGGGTATTGGACGCGCCGGACAAAGCGAGAACGACGCTGGGAGGCCAGGGTTGGGACGGGGTGGGACACCAAAGTTGGCGACGAGCTGGGATGCCAGAGTTTGGGACGAGCTGGGGGGGGGGGGGGAGAGGCAGGGCTGAGGGACGAGATGCTACGCCAGGACTGGGAACGAATCAGTTTCGAACCCTGCTTCTCCCATGGATCTAGACTGTCTATGGGAGTCGCCCTATTCCCTGATCGGTCCATTATACCCGGTATATGAGTTACGCCCTGGATATATAGGTACACCCGGTATATAGGTCTCCCGGTATAGGTTACATTACACCCGATATATAGGTCTCTGCCTATGATGTATAGGTCTCTCTGTCTCTGTCTCTGTCAGACGAGTCTATTCTCTGATGTACAGTCGAACAGAGTGAATCTCACCAAACTGCATGGTCAGAGGCGCCTTGTTGCCGCGGATCAGGGCGCCTAGCCCAGAGGTGGCGTCTGCGTTAATGTGGTACAGGTTGCCGCCCCTTTCGGTCAAGTAGGGGAAGGAGTGTTCGAACTGTAGCTCCATGGTCGTTGTCATGCTGTAGAGTTCCTGCGGTGTGGGCTCGTGACTGATGAGGCTGAGGTGTTTCGGTGCTCTGAAGGTCATCGCCACTCTTTCGGTCACGTTTGCGCCGCCTGAAGAAGAAAAGTCAAAATTTAATTTCGCCAAAAGAAAGCAGGTACTGCCTAGCCGACATGAGTGGTTATTACTTACATAGGTACCTACCTCATTTATTTTCACACGCGGACGGTCTTCTCACCTCTGCCAGGGGTTTCTTTCGTTGTGAAGATCAAATAGACATCGTACTCTTGATTTTCAGACGAGTCGCGAATTGCGTCAGCCAACCTGCAATTGACAAATGTTTGAAAAGATGGTATCTATAATTAATGCACATCGGTGGCCACAGCAATATCAGCAGCTTGTTTTTGACACAGTGTACATAAATAGTTTTTGGGAAATTTCGTCATTCGATCGGCAAATCGAATGACGCAAAAGCCACGGTACCTGCCTGCTGGCCAAGAAACACCTTCAAAGTTGGCTACAACTACAAATTGAACAAGTGCATTTTTAACGGCACAATTTTCATAGGCACCTGTGTGACTCATATTCTTACTCAGGGTGAGACATCAGGCACATTTGAGCTTAACATACAGGACGAATACCCCCCCCCCCCAACAAATATCACTCTCTCTAAAACATACGTAGGTCAGAAGGGTGCTCTCTTACCAGAGGATGGAGTACTGCTGGCGCACCATTGGCCTGCCTTCGTCGTCTGTCTTGATGCGCCTCAGCCTGTCCTCCCGAGTCCACTGGTAGCCGGACACGGAGTTGAGCAGCAGCGTGTACCCCCCGTCAGAGCGGTTCCTGTAGCACTCTGTTATCACATCAGTTCCGTTGATGTGCGTCCAGTGCCTGGCGCTGGACAGGCGTCTGGCCATGTTGAACAGGTGGCGACAGGTGACGGTGAGCTCTGGTGTGCAGATGTGAGCCCGGCACAGGTCACCGGGCATGATACAGTCCGAGTTACGGAGGCAGAACTGGTCTGTCTGCGAGTGGCGCGGGAGAAAGAAGTGCAGCGGATGCTGGTTGCTCTGGTTACGTGTCAGCTGGCGGAGAGTCCCCACGGTGGAGTAGAGGATGCACTCGCTGCTCGCGGGGTCATAGGAGACGCTCTGGCAGGTGGGCCGATGGTGGCAGAGAGCGCAGCACGTGCAGGGGCTGATGCGGGTCGACAGGCCTCCGGTCAGCTGGTGAGGGCTGTACCTCTGTAGCTCCAGGGACGGATCGAGCACGCCGGCGTACAGATCAATATTCTGACAGCCCGTGATGAGGTGTGCCGAGGCGCATATAAACAGAGCTCCGAGAAAGAGAGGGGTACTGGGGACGCTCGGAAACATTTCAGCTGTCCTGGCAGACATTCTTTGTGGCGCTGAAAAGAAACGAATGACTTAATTAATCAAATTTGGGTTTTGTCCGGAAATCTTCCCAACAAATGATAGGTACAGGTCTCGCGAGATTAAGCGGTAGGTTTTGCACTTTTACATTTCCGGTTATATCTCAGAAACTAATCGATCTACGATGAAGCCATTTTACACGATCATGGCCGGCTTGTTACGCAACAAGTCGATCGCATCTTCAACACTTAAAAGCTTAAGACGACGAAGATATAGCCTGAAGTACACTAAATTTTCTAGGTGCAAAACCTACCGCTAAAACCCGCGAGACCTGTACCTACTGGTGAGAAATTTGTCACAACCTGCCACTGGATAATCTCAAATCTGATTTCGTCAAACTATGGATTAGAAAATCGTTACCCCGTTTCGTTGCGGTGACCTCTCGCACTTACCTGTTAGCTCCTTGGACGCCAGTGAGCTACTGCAGCGGTGACCAACCAGCAGTGATCGCCGATGGTCTAGTTGTTATGGGCCGACTATGGCAACCGCAGCGGACATCAGCGCACTGCCAATTTGTATTCACATGTACATACTTCCATTATCGTTTCAAGCTGGTCGTACCGATGGGCACAAGTATGAGCATGTTACGGTATTGCCCCATTGCCCATTTACATTATGCTCGTCGCTCATCACTGAAAGAGTGAAGAGCTCCTAAAAGAGGGTTGAACATAATGAAAAATGAGCAGCTCTGGCACGGTATTCGAGCTGCGGAGTTATGTCCGCAGACTGCAGTTGCCGGAATGGCCTTGTTCTTATAATAAAGTGCTTTTATTCTTTGTAAGGGGACCCGCAGTTGCTACTGTACAGCGACCCTGAGTAAATTGTCCCAGTACCCTCACAGGGAACAACGATAAGCTGTCAGAGGGCACGCACAGAAAACCTCAGCTGCTCTTGTACAGGGACCGGCAGTCGATATCAATGTTATCGGTTGTTACTGGACAGGACAGACGGCTAGAGTTTGGGTTCGTGTACAGTAGCAAATGCGGGTGCCCGTACAGTTCAGGTGGCTCTTCCGTCAGACTATATGCAGTATGCTAACATAAAACATTAACCCTCGTCTTGGCAGGACATTTTTCTTAACGCGGCCTGGCAGGGGGAGGGGGGTCAATGCGACCCCACTGGCGTTTCGAAACGAGGCGTCGTAGCGCTTCGCAACAAAGACCAGTCGATTGTTCTTAACGTTTAAGTCGTGATTGGTGGTATAATTTTTACCCTATGGTCAATATTTGACCCAGTTATGGCAGGTAGACGCTCAAATTTATGGGAAAAGCTATAATTTCCAAATTACCTAGCCAATATTGGCGAATCTGTGAAAGATAGAGACATAAAACTTTCACGACCGTGTTTCTCAACGAATTAGCAGCAAAATGTTATATAGTTGACTGCATTTCAGTCATTACTGGCGTGGCTTATTCCCTGGGAACACGGGAGGTCACGCCCGCCGCCGGCGAGGACGGTCGCCGGCAGAAGTTCGGTCCAGGATATTGACCTGGGTTGACCTTGTAAAGGTCAAAAAACATTTTTGGAGGCGTTTAGGTGGAAATTGAACCACAGATTCGGGTTCAGGACCTCAAGAAACCTCACTAAGCACAGCTCATCACGGAAGTCAGCGTGTGACATGCGAGGTCATTGACCTTGGCTGACCTTAGAAAGGAAAGGTCAATAATGTCAATATGCAATGTAAAGATTCATGTCCAGTCGAATTCTGACATAAATTACGCGGAATAGTTTCGTTCTTGTCGATGAGATCACGTCCAGTTACGGTATGTACAATTTTGTTAAAAAGCTGTCAGAGGCTGTACCGATTATAACGTAGTACCTATTAGGGTGAAGTCGTATAAGAGTACGCACTTAGTGGATTTCTTGCTCTCATTTGTTTAATATTTGAAGGAAAGAAATCGCAAATAGGGAATATTAACGTTCATTGAATTAGCCATCAACCCATGGGCAACGATCCTTCAGCGTAAATGGAAGTGGTCTAAAACTGACATTTTCTGAACCGTTGCACTTGCGTACTCTTACCATATGGGGTGTGTAAGAGTACGCACGCCAGGCGGGTGGAGTACGCAAGCATATGAACACACACCTATGCAGCTTGCACTGTCCAAATGCTTAACTTCAAACTCAGAAGGCATTTAAGTTAATTCTAGTATCCAAAAAGAAAAACATAAAATACATCTTTCAAGTCTGTAAATCAGGAAATAATCATGTCGTGTGTTTCTTAAAATGCACGATCAAAAAGGAGAATAACTCGTATTTGGAAGAATTTCGGGTACGCATCTGCATCACAGTGCTCCATTGATGATATACCTACAAAACAAACGTCATTGAGCGTAAGATTAATAATTCTATATTTCTGTATATTCGATTTAATGTATAATTCTGCGTACTCTTACCCTCCTGAACAGTGCGTCCTCTTACCGTACATGCAATTCGCGCACAAAACAACCCCGAAACGTTGTGCAAAACTTCGCAAACAGAATATTGCACTGTACAGTATTTCCCCAGATAACCTCACAAGTTTCCTACAACAATCACGGAAATGTACCTTATCTCAACTGCCAAGTATCAAAATTATTGTACCATATCATAATAATATCATAACGCTCGAAAATAATATTCATCGCCTTAAACTCAACAGCGTCGCCGCTCAACGCCCACGTTCCGTTGGTGACATGCACGTACTGGCGGCTTCATGTCACTTCATGAACTCGACAAACCCGCGTTGCTAAGCAACCGAAACAGCTGATGCGTACTCTTATCGCCCGCGTACTCTTACCCGCCCTTACCCTATAGCTCGGTGACCTGACATGACCCGAAGTTTTTTTTACAAAAAATTGCGCAGAGGATGCTCCAGAGGCTATTGAAAATGGTTAATGTTTAAGTTACAGCTAGCATTCATTTATAAAATATCTATAAGTAAATGTATATAACAGGGCTGCGGAGTCGATGGATTTTCGGCGACTCCGACTCCGACTCCGACTCCGGCTTTCAAAAACCAGCTCCGACTCCGACTCCGGGCAGAATTGTCGACTCCCACCGACTCTAACTCCCGACTCCGACTCCGCAGACCTAGCAGGGCTGCGGAGTCGACAGATTTTCGGTGACTCCGACTCCGACTCCGGATCGGGTTTCTAAAAGCGACTCCGACTCCGACTCCGACTCCGGTCACAACTGTCGACTCCGACCGACTCCAACTCCGACTCCGACTCCGACTCTGGTATATAACATCTATAAATATCTTATTTACTTATAGGATATCTTGCAAACGGAAGGCAATAGGTATGTTTACCAAGACATCAAATATCTGTTTCTAATCCAGGCCAGATCATGAAAACGCTTCCGTGAGCAGTTTGGGCACTACGCCAACTATAGAAGCCCCCACGAGTGGCCTACTGAACTGATTGCCTTGCCGTCCAAATTCGGACCCCATCTGTCCGGTATAGAGGCGCCGGCCCCATCCTGCCGGCACCGAATTTGGTGGTATTGATCGGGCACGAGGTCAGAAATCTCGTGACGCTCGCCACTGACATTGATTGGACTTCCGAACAGCCGGTGACGTCGACCGTGTATCAAATCGTTGGAAGGTATAGTGAAAATATGGGCTAGGACTTATGAGCTAGCCGAATAAGTATTCATTGCCTGCAATGATTGGAATACTGCCACTCGCGCTGGTTCAATATGAATTCATAAGTATTCTATACTTTCATTTTGGCTCCTTCAAAATTTATTCATTGAAGCCCAGAAAACGAGAGGATTTGCTGCATTAGCAGACATTATAAAACACGTAGGTAACACCTAATTTGACCTTTCAGTTGGTGCAAAAAGTAATAATACATTCAGATTATTTCTCCCCTATTAGCAAAGTTCAATGCTGATCAAGTCCACAATATCTTCCAAATTTGGCACATATTTCTATCTCGAACACTTTCCCTCTTATGCACACATTTTATCCGTTCGTCCGACCGTCCTCCGATCCGCCCATCTTTCCCTCCATTTGCCAGCCCTCCGTCCCTCCGACCCTCCTGTATCAGGCCCTCTTCCCTCTCTTACTCACCGCCAGCCCAGCTCTTCATTTTTCCACGACCATCGACCTACCGCCGTGTGGGCGAAAAGGTGACCGTGGGGAGGGGAGCGCAGACCTCACCCCCCCCCCCCCCCAGCCACCATCACCGTCCCCAGCCCGACAAAACAGCGGTAACTTCTGCCACTCACGGTACGTTGACCTGCGACAACACGCATTGCAACATCCACAGAGATTGGTGGGTTCTCCGGCCCAACGCGCGACGCAGATGCATTGTTTTGTTTCAGCAGGGTGTGCGTAGGCGCTAGTGGCACCGATAGAGCTGCTAGTGAGCGTGTACGCTCATCTTGCAATAATCTTGCATAATGTGGTGTTTTTCTGCTCTTGGAGACCCGCTGAGTGTCTGCGAGGAGGGATTTGTATCTCGAGGACTGGCGCCGGCGAGGAATGACGAGTCGACGACCGCTGACGCAGCCTTGCTCGCTACGGATTCATTGAAGTCTCCACGAGATCTGTCATACTGTGACTGAACTCCATCCATTCATTCACTAAAGAAGTAATGAAATTTTGGATGACTTTCGATCTGAATAGTGTCGGAAGGGAAAGAGATAAAAACTGGATGAACGCATATTTGGAGTGTGCATGCTCAGTGTTCATGGTAAGACACAGCAAGAAGTGGCCAAGAACAATCCAATTCATACATCGCAAAGAAAAGCTGTGTGAGCTCACATAAACTGATAAACATAACACCTGTTTTGCCTATTGGTGTCCGTGTATTTGAATGATTGTGTTATTTTTATCCTTGGTGGCATTCTATTCTCATTACCAAAATACGGTCACTATGCAGCTAAATCAAAATAATAGCATTGCTGCAAGACTACATAAAAACCTGTCATTATCATGTCGCCATTTAGAAAGTCCACCCGCTGTCTGCATTTAGATCGGGCCGTTTATCGTCTGGGTTTATATATTTGCCGCCCCCGCGCCGTCTCGGCCGTAGCGGCCATCGCCCAGGGCGAGGGCGGACGCAGCGCGGTGGCGGGCGCAGAGCTCAGCTTTCTCCACCCGCGCCTGAGGCAGAGCTGTGACCGGAGCTGTGGGCTACGAGCCGGGCTGCAGCAGCCTCAGAGGAATCTATCAGACACGGGCCGCTGCAAAACCCGGGCCCCGGCGACCGGCTGTGACTGTGATGGAAGGGGGAGGGGGGGGGGGCTGTGAGGGGAGGGGAGGAGGTAGGGCTGTGACTGAGCAGACTGAGCAGCAGACCGGCTGTGACTGTGAGGGGCGGTAGGGGGAGGGACTGTGACTGTGAGGGGGACTGTGTGTCGGGAAGGGGACTGTGACTGTGAGGGGTGATAGGAGGAGGAGGGGCTGTGACTGAGCAGACGTGACGTCGGGAGGGGGGGGGGGGGGGTCGCTGTGTGCTGGTTGTCGAGGGAGGAGTGAATGGGTACTGAGTATGCATGCGATTGTAGTGAGGGGAAGCTGCGTAGAAGTTTGGCAATATCACGTGGCTCGAGTTTGTTTTGGAGAGCGACGTGTAGATGTGTGAAACTGAACTGTAAAGATGTGTAGATGTTGCAGTAGAGTTGGACGGCCTGAACAGGTGCATGAGAGAGAGGGAGAACAAGAGAAATATCCAAGAGAAATAGATGAGTGAAAAAGGAGAAAAAGATAGGGAAAGAGAGAGAAAGGGGGAGAGAGCACGAGAGAAATGGAGGCAATGAATGACAATGCATGATAAAAAAGAAGAGAGTAAGAAAATTTAAGCTGAGTGGTGCATGTAAGCAGCTCGAGACTGTAGGCCAAAATTGCCTTAGGAAATGGCGTTTGAGCAGTTTCAGGGGTAACTGGCGATTCGAATGTTCTGTTGATAATATTGTTCTAGTCATGGCCCCTAATGGCTAATTATCTTTTGATACAAATTACAAAATGTTTTAGGTTAGCAGAGAAAACATGAAATATCCATTAATCATATATTTATTTACACCGTGAAAACATCAGTCCGGTCACCGAAAGTTTCTATATATTACAACAGTGCGATCCGCCAGGGCCCAGTCACTACGCCTGACGCCTGCAGACTAGATTTGAGGGCGGTCTCATACCACATTCCAGAAAGGCACATCGGGCACATCCAGAATTCATATCATGAGTCTTTCACGTTGGCGGTCGAACCTGTCTATTGTAAAATAACATGTACAATTCAATATAATTACGACATATGTATCAACTAATTTAACCATGGAAGTAGGAGTTCAAAAAGGTAAAAAAGACATAGATTTTCACCTCTACCTTTTCGAGCATACCTATTTTCAGCCACATTGTTGCAAAAACATCAACAACGCACACGTGTGAGCATTTTACAGTCAGCATTCGACAACGCGTTTCCCAAGTATAACCTTACCGCACATTTGTTCCACACCCATGCTTAGAAGCAACTCACGAAACACAGTGATTGCACCTAACGTGCCCGGAAAATAATGAAGCTGTGACACTTAGAGTAAGTCAGAGCGTCGCCGCTCTCCGAATATTTGCAATCGTATTCAAAAACAGTGTCTAGGCGAGGGCGAGTGCAAGACAGACCTTATAAATTGAACACCGCTGTTGTAGTTTCGTAAGTGCTAGCTAATATTACGTTCTCAAATACAAGTTTGGCCCTGTCAGCAGTCAGCACTTAAATATTCCAAATCACACCGGACATTTATTTACAACAGACGCCTCGGCATTACAGCCACACTGTCACAACACGAAGGCATGAAGACATTTGTGTCTTTCATTAGCTGGCTGGTAACGGTCTGTGCCGTCAGCTGGAAATGTTTTACGGAATGTGATTAGTGTTTTTCGTCTACGTTTTAGCATTATTTTCCATTAGAGGCATGCTATTGTAAAACGGAAAACGTGAGTCATAAAAACTCATTACATGCGACCGCTACGATAAGCAAGTAACAGTGCTATAGCTTAGCCTGAGTACACTTGACTGTTTTATGCGCAACTTTGATTCGCCTCAAAGAAGTAACAGACAATCTATCATAGCACTCTGTTCAATTCCTTTGCTTAACCACTCTTACATTTAAAGTGTAAGCGCACCATGAAGAAAAAGTTCAGCGGTGTCTTCAAAACTTTAACGAACACTGCTTTATCAAATAATTCACAATCCTAAGTACAACAAGAAGTAAACAAATTTTGGGAATTTATCAACATCATCGGTCAGTTGCAACTGACTGCCATATATAAACAACAGACTCTTGGTACTACAAGTACGTTTCTTTCGTCATGGAGTCTTTCTCCCTCCAGTCTCTGAACACATCACTCCTCTTTTCAAGATGCGCGCCTTTCCAGAGCATTGTCACCAGGACCTTTATGACATCTCGAACATCTTCCAGAGGGGCACCACGAGCTCTTGCAGTGAGCGGAGGACATTATATACAAAAGACACCACCACAAGTTCTGACGTGAGGTGAAGTAGCCTCACGAGTATCCGTTTCTCTTAACTCTTAGCTCACTACCTGCGGCCCATCTCCTCAGCACTGACTCTCCTCTTTACAGAGGTGTTATCCTCGGCGGGGTCACCGGTCACCACCACCGGCTCGGCGCGCGCCAGGCCCTGGGGCGGTGCCGAGGTGGCCCTCCGGTCCATCTCCTCGGCCTCCCGGGCGCTCATCCTCACCCCGTTCACCACCACCACGCTGGCGCTCTTCTGGATGTCCGCGGCGCTGGGGTTGTCCCGGCCGGCCGACCGCCGCTCCAGGGTGCTCAGGCTTTCCTCGATGCTCCGAACGGCCTCCTTGCGGGCGGTCCTGACGTCGGCGTCGCCTCCAGTATCCAGGCCGTCCAGCTTGAGGAGGCCGCGGGTCAGCATTTCGTCGAGGAACAGGTACTCCTTGTCCCCCCGGCAGCCGTTGAAGGATTCCAGGCGACGGTTCACCGGATCCAGGTCACTACGAATAGTGGCGATCTTACTGAGCGCTGTATCTTTGGCAGAGATGGGCTGCTGAGGCTTTGGCTGCTCTTGAGCCTGCTGCTGCTGCTGCGCCTGCTGCGATGTGCTCTGCTCCTGCTGCTGATTCTGCTGGCTGTGCGTCTGGCCTGGGTTCTGCTGTGTAGTCTGCCGTCGGGCTGCGTGGATTTCAGCAGCGCTCGGTTTGGGCGGTACGGGCGGCGGACGAGGGGCAGTGCTCTCGACTCCGCGGCCGAACGGCAGGTCCACGCTGCGAGTCGGCGATCCGAACATGCCGAAACTGGACGACTTGAACGGCCTGGCCCCGGGTGAGAAAGGCTTCGGTGACATATTCTGGTAGCTAGCCCTTCCTCCCGGACTCTGCGCCTCTCGCTGCTGCGATGCCAGCGCCTCATTCACTTTCAGCGGAGCGAACTTGGTCGCGCTCTTGCCGAGTGTGTTGACATTCTCCGCTGGAGTGACCACTGGACAGCTCTGTGCGCGAGCGTCACGCGGCTCACCTCCCTTAACGGACGTCTCCACACCAGCTCCATCAACGGTATCACGTCTCTCGTGCTTCCTCAGAGGCCGCTGCGGCGGCGGATCTTTGGATGCTTCCTCCTCATCGTCTCCCTCGAGGCGGATGGGTATGATGCGCTCCCGCGGCGCGCTGGATGACTGACCCGACGGCGGCGCACGGGTCTCTGGCTCGCCACAGCTGCCAGTGGAGCTCGTCTGCGAGTGCCGGTCCTCCTCGGAGGTGCACGAGGCGCCGTCCGAGGAGCGTCGCTCGCGCTGCAGCAGAGTGTCGCGGTTGAAGGGACGCGGAGCGAACAGGCCCGGCCGCGAGGCGTCGAAGCTGCCCAGCTTGGGACGAGCTCGGCCGGCAGGGTCGGCCATCAGCGGGTCCGGGGGCTGCCGGAGAGACAGAAAAACCGAGGTCAGAGCCACGCTGACGACTGGAGATGACACAAACCATTTAACGAGAACAAAGGACAGGACGTTAGGCTGTGCTGTCGATGACTTTGATAGTTGGTTGCTAATTTTCTGATGATTAAATCTGACGAGGATTTAATAGGCCTTAGCAAAACCATGCATAGTGGGTTGAAGATAACGTAGATGTTTCTTTATTGTCTGAACAGAATGATTTCTTCACACGGCCGAGCGACAAAATATTCTTAAAAAGGTGATCAACAACGGACTTTGCAATCAGGAGCCATTACTTACTGTAAAGCGGACGTGTTTGAACATATTTACAGCGGTAGGCGATAGCTGTAGCGGCCCAATCGTGTTTACAGAACAACTACTCTTCACAGCACACGGTTTCGTTTCAGGCTACCAAAGTAAATAGCCCACCATCAGAACACTCGCAAGTCACACGCTCACAGTTCAGTCCTTAGTTTCTGCTCATGAACACACAACCACACAAAACAACCACACTCAGTCCTGTCAACTCGGTCCTGTCAGAGCCCCTGGAAACTGCAAACTGCAGTATGCACGTTTATAGAGGACTGGCTTCGCATTGGATTCCGTCATTCAGCGCCCTGGGTGGACAGGACAGGAAGTCAGTCCGCCAGCTCGTGATAGCGCCTATCAGGATTGCGTTGTGCAGGGCGGACGGCAGACGCCGGGTCTCGCATTGGTCCGGATGTGCGAGCGCAGCGCGGTATCGCACAGCGTGACAATGCACGCTACAAAGGTGGATATGATCAAATAAGAACACTTGGCAAGATATTCAGTGAAGTGTGGCCGATAGTTTTACACAATTCTTAAGTTTCGTTCAATGTCATTGAAGGTTTCCTATTGAATCTCTTCGCCTAATCTATACCGACCTCTTCTCTTTCTTTCTTTCTTTCTTTCTTTCTTTCTTTCTTTCTTTCTTTCTTTCTTTCTTTCTTTCTTTCTTTCTTTCTTTCTTTCTTTCTTTCTTTCTTTCTTTCTTTCTTTCTTTCTCTCTCTCTCTCTCTCTCTCTCTCTCTCTCTCTCTCTCTCTCTCTCTCTCCTCTCTCTCTCTCTCTCTCTCTCTCTCTCTCTCTCTCTCTCTCTCTCTCCCTCTCCCTCTCCCATCCCTCTCCCTCTCCCTCTCCCTCTCCCTCTCCCTCTCCCTCTCCCTCTCCCATCCCTCTCCCTCTCCCATCCCTCTCCCTCTCCCATCCCTCTCCCTCTCTATCTCTCTATCTCCCGACACCCACTGTGATTCCATCTGTTCCGCGCCGTCTCAGCGAAAGCGCGACCTAGCATGTGGTTTTCTCCTCTGACGCGTCTGTATCAAATCAGTCAGTTATTGTTTCCACCCCTCACTGCCTCCAGACGCCATTGTGACTGTTCCGAGACGAAAATGGCGCAGGTAGCCATTCTGTTAAAGAGGTTCAGTTTATCAGCCGCTTTCTGCCGACGCGAGACGACCTTGACCGCTTGTTTCGAGGTCAGGTGGCGAGGCCGAAAGACAAAGCAGGTAAAGTGCTGTCGCCTGTTCGAATTGTGGATGTCGTGAGTGGTATATGGGATGTTTTTACTGGTTGGAAGACGTATTTTCAGGGCGTCTGGACACGCATATGGTCACGCTAATGGAATCGTGAAATACTGTTGAGATGCCACTTAAGATTTAGGCGGATCTTTCGTTACGTGAAGGTGATGACGTCTACTGGCAAACTGACTTCACAAATCTCAATAATATAGACTACAGCTTAATTCGGATCCAGAGGTAGGTAAAGGCTCTTCTGTGCAGGTTTACGCGGCAGACAGTCTCCTACTGTCATTTATTTATCATTCACTTGTCGGAGGCAGTGAATGCTAAAACATAAAAGTGATCCATGATGTTAGAGCTGCTGAAATCAGATGATGCTTTCAGCCATGCTTTCCAATAGTTTCTGTGCCATTTATTTGACTACTCAAACAGCCAAGAGATTTGGGATGCAAATTATAGTTCGATTAGCTGAAGATGGCTGAAGACAAGCTATGCATTCACTTTTACGTCAAGTCTAACTGAAAAATTGTAAGGAGGCTTGGAAACTAGCACTGACTTGCAATCAGCTTTGTAATGAACCTCTACAAATGTTGAAATCACGTCTCAGTGAATGCAATGCGACTAATGTGGAATGTCCCTTCCACGGGTAGCGTGACCGGTACGGCAAGATGATTTATCAATCGTCACGACGTTCACATTTCTAAACGCTGCCTTTCACAGATTGCTAGTCACATTAGATGAAATGTTCATCGACCTTTAGTTCCGCTCTCAACGTTTGTTCCTCCCCATTAGTTCTGCTTTCAAAGGTCACCGCCCTGTCGACACTGAAACCGTTGGCCAATGCGGTAATTTTTAAAATCTGCGTTTGATATCAGCCTAGTCATTTGACACGCCACCGAACTTCGGTCGCCGACATTGGTTATCCAATCGTTCGCCCACCCGCTCCGAGGCGCAGACGGTTACCCAACGGCCGCTCCAACCGACATTTCACAGCTGGATTCATCTGGATTTTAGCCCCGGGCACGACATTTAGCCCCAATTTGGGTTCGTTCATCTAGAGACTGCGATGCGTCGCCCACGTCAGGGCACTAACACCAGCGGAAGACTGCTCGTGGGGAAACGCGCCCGCGATAAAAAAAGAGACATTCAAGTTTGTTCAGCTGTTTTTGTCGGTGATTGACCTAAAACTATTTGTTCAGTTCCATCTAAGAATAAAGCTGACATAAAACTGCGCAGCAAAACAGCGTTGTGACAAAACCGGCGCAGATGTGAGGCGTGTCCAATTTCTGCGCGTGGGTCGAGCCCGTCATCTCTTCTGCTGCGTCATTAGCCGACCTCTCGCCTCTCGTCTCGACCATTTAATGACTCTGGCGACCAATTTGATGGCCGACCCGCTCCGTCACGTGACTTTTGGATTTGGCCAGGTCAGAGACGCTTAAAAAGCTCGTGCTGGGTTTGAAGCGTAACCCTGGGGCTTGATGTTTCTACAGATCAGGGCACGCGACTGAGACGTCCCGATCTCTCAGTTACAATACCAGTGCTCTTTCCCGACTTTTCGCTCATGCCTCTTTAACACGACCGTGGTTGTGTCTCTGAGTTTTGTCCCTCATCCTTACGGCTGTGGCCTGATCCCGTCCCCTGTCACATGACTCTTTCTCACATGATCCCGTCCCCTGTCCTCTCATTCTTCCTCAAGCAACAATAGCACTCCCTACACGCTTCTCACGCGACTCTGAGTCTGACCCCCTGCCACTCCTCTCACGCAAACTTGACTTGCATGGATTCTGCCGAAACACTGAACTTGAAGCATTAGTAGTTCGAGCTGCGTGTACGAAAAAGTTTCTGATGCAGGATGAAATGCATCTACATAGCTAGAAATTCAATGGAGATGAAGCTTCAATAATGGTATTGGATTGAGTTGGCATGTCGATGCATCGACGTCCGTAAAGCAGTACCTATATGAATGCCTGCATTTACCGACAGTTTCGAAAGATAAGCGATTTTTTATGTGGCACAAAATATTTTTCATTGGCAAGTAACTTTTGCCGCCAGTCGCAAGGCAGTCTTTTTTTATATTTTTTTTTTTCATACATCATTTATTACGACAAACCACATTTTACAAGATCTCATGTCACAAACGCACGACGTTCCAGCGCCCTCAAAAAGCTCCTGGCCGGGCTGTCTTCCGCTCACTCCGCACCAAACTAGCCAACACAATATAAACATCCATAACAAAATAGCATTTGCCTACGAGCTGACCTCATGGCCCCATACCGGACTGGACACCGGACCGATTCCTTCTACGCACCGGTCTCTCTCGCACGCGCTCTATGACTGACCACATACTCTTTAACCACAACGAAACAGTGACAAAAGCATGGATATAACAAATCATAAACCCAGAGATGAAGATCTAAACAACATAGTTAGCAGAAACACTGACACAATCGTCCGTAGTGCGTGGCGGCGACGGCGGCGCCGCCGGCGGCGGCAGCTGCCCGGCCGACCAGACGACGGGCGCGGCGGCGGCAGCGTACACGGGACCTTCATGCGGTCACCTGTTTAATCAAATATCGGGACTGCATGCCCTGCCCCGCCCAACAAACCGACGAAGCTCGCTGCACATGGCTGTAGTAGGCATTCCAATTTTATTTTGTGTTTCTGCGATATGTGTAGTGCGATATGTGTAGTGACTTTTGATTATTAGTCACCGATGATTTGTCGTCGGTGTCTGCCTTAGACTGCCTTACAGTCGCAAGGCAGTCTGTAAGTTCGCAATATTCCTTCTTTCTTTCAAAAGCACTCGCCTTCATCTCAAATGCTTATGAGTCATTGCCTGACTTAAGTGTCTTATCCTTTTGCTTATCTCCATGACGAAAACTCGGGGCGGTGACGTCTCCCTTATTCCGTGACGTCAAACGCGCCTAAGAAAGAGCACAAGCAAAGCACAGACAATGCACAGACAATGCACGCTGCTCGTGTGCACTAAAAGCTGTCTGCGGTCGGCTCACTGTCATGCCAGCGCTGTGTTTTAGCTGATCAAGCGAGCTCAGACGGGTGATACGGAGGTCAAGAGAGGCGGGATTTGAAGCTTCCAGGGACGGATAATCAGAGATGTGGGGTTCTTGGGTAACGCTGTTTGAAATTCGGTAGCGCACAGTCTAAATTTCTGCTGTTCATTTTTGCACTGCACCCAGCCTTATTGTGTTCGTAACACTCCGAAGTTGATCTGGAAAATGTTCATCTGCTAGTTGGTCAAGTCTGCGACTCCTTCCATGTAGGGCAGGTGCTAGGTCAGACAGCTCGAGTCTGGTAAGGCAGGATGATGGGGGGGGGGGGGGGGGGAGGGAAGCGGTCACTTGAACTAGGTTGGGCCGAGCCGCCGAGTTTTAAGTCATACGCTTCCTCTCCCATTGAGCAACGTTGGCTGTTGAGCCTCCGTCGCAGAGTAAGTACAACACAGTCTCTATATCGTTTGCGCCAACAGTCTGCGAAACCTGCGATTGCGAGACACAACAAGGCGTCTGTACCCGTGTCTGAGACATCTGGCCATATTTGAAATCCGCTGAAGTCACTCGCTGGTGTCGTTAATGTACCCGTTTTAGGATCGGTGAGTGGTGACTAGACCGGTGAGCTCAGTGGATAATCGCCAGGTAAATATGCACTCGCATCAGGAACAGTGTCGATCACATACTGGTTCTCCTGGATGAAGGAGGAAATAGCCTTGCCATTATTCTTGTTCGACGGGAATGGAAGACTGGGAAGATATAATCACATCCGAGACAGAGAGTGTGAGTTTGCTTCAAAAATTCGTACATGCTGCGCTGCCGTTTCACAACTACATCTGAGGTCCTGTTACCAGTAAAGCCAACTTCAGTGGATTGCATGTCTTAGTGTAATGTTCCCTACTGGCGATCAGCTTTGTTCTGCGAAATGTCACCTACATCATTCACCTTTGTCATACGGCTACTGAATGGTCGTTTCTGATCTATGACGTCACTAGGTCGCCGAGGACCGGCTGAGTCAAGGCTGAGCCACTGGCTCGGTTAGCTCAGTCCACCGCCTGTCTATTGGAGCCGGTCTTTGAAGGAACCACGCCGGCGCCCTCTGACCGGTTTTGGAGAAAAGGAACGCTGGCCGCTCGACAGTGTT